CTGGTTCGGAAGTCGGCATCTGTGTCGACGCTATCAAGACCCTCAAGGATCAGAACAACCTCACCGCTCGTGTCGTCTCCATCCCCTGCTTCGAGGTCTTCGATGTGCAGTCCAGGGAGTACAGACTCTCTGTTCTGCCAGATGGTATCCCATCCCTGTCGGTCGAGGTCATGTCCACCATGGGCTGGGAGAGGTATACCCACGAGCAGTTCGGACTTAACCGCTTCGGTGCTTCGGGTGCTTACAAGGATGTTTACAAGGTATGTGTTCACCACCCCCGAGTAACTGGCTTAAAATAAAATAGCTCACTGACACCCCATATAGAAGTTCGAGTTCACCCCAGAGGGCATCGCCAAGCGCGCTGTCGCCACCGTGGACTTCTGGAAGGACGTCCCGAACATCCGCTCGCCTATTAACCGCGCTTTCCAGCAACTTATCTAAGTTAAGTGATGGGAGGTTAGGAGGTTGGTGGGGCAAAGGGGGGTAAAGAAGGTGCGAGGAGGTGAAGAGCAAAGAAAAAGAAAGGTGCGGGAGGTGGGAAGCGTGCCGTGTATTGTTGTAGCTCTTGCGGGTAGTTAAGACTATATACATATTATTTGGTATGATTTGGGGCAGATGATGTGAAGTATCACAGCAGATGATGTGAAGTGTACTACTGTGATATATACATGTTGAAGTGTATGATATCACTTGCAGCGGTAGTATAAGTATCAAGTTGAGTTGAACAACAGTTCACTGGAATATGTGTTGTATTGTTGTTTTGAGTGAAGCTATCTACAGAACTATTTGTGGGTGGTCCGCAACCCGATTCGGTTGGCGAGCCACACGCCCAACCAATCAGTCTGAGCAACCTCCTCCTTCAACAATACAGTATATATCACAGTAGTACACTTCACATCATCTGCCCCAACTCATACCAAATAATATGTATATAGTCTTAATTACCCGCAAGAGCTACAACAATACACAGGGTTAGAAAATCAATTATAATCATGATTATTTATTTAGTCGTAACGTATTTCACAAGCGAGTCGGCATCCTAAGCGAGTCGGCAGCAAAAACACCAAAACGCGTCAACCTAACTGTAGTTAGCGAGTCGGTAGCAAAAACACCAAAACTACAGTCAACATGCCGCAAACAACACAAGCTAAATACTCTAATCAAGAGGGTAGAATACTATTAGCTATACGAGTAATCAAACAAGGCACTTGTCAAACTATTCAAGCAGCTGCAGTATCATACGATGTACCCTATACAACCTTAAGTGACCAGATCCATCGCATGACTTCTTAACGTGACTCTACTCTTAAGTCATGTAAGTCGACTCTATATGAAGAATCAGCTCTCGTTCAATATATCCTTGACCTAGATTCACATGGATTTCTGCCCTAGCTACAAGCTGTATAAAAAATGGCCGACTCTCTAAACAAGGTGAGAGCCCTGTTAGGAAGTACTAGACTACTAACTGTAATGGTGGGTGCACCAGATGTGAGAATCTAGCCACCCAAGGAAGGGATGATTTTACTAAGACAACACACTGTCTTAGGAAACAGAGCCAAAGGGTCGTAGCTTAGACTATTCCACAACACAGCAATCAGGTGTATGATGTAGTGGAGTGGTTTAGACAAGTTGTAACAAATATTGAGTCTGAGAACTCGGGGATAAGTCAGAGGTTAGCACCTCACTGACTTTTCAGAAACAAGGAGTAACAAGATCAATGCTTGGAAGCTTGGAAAAGACGTGGAAGTATGTGATAGTCGATTTACTGTATTGTCTGCTTGCCCTTTCTTAAGGAAAGGGCAATCCTATTTATGCTAAAGGAGTGTAGTTCTCTCATTTTCCAAGACTTTCCATGACTAACCAGGCTTGGTAACTGTAGTCGACGTAAGAGAATCCCATAGAACCATCTCCTAGGTTCCTAGCCTATAGGAAGTGAAAGGAGGTCCAAGGTCAGAGTACCCCTATAGACAAATTATGTCATAGACAAATTATGTCATAGACAAATTATGTCATAGACAAATTATGTCATAGACAAATTATGTCATAACTTAACCAATCTTGTGGGTAACTAAAGAGCGATGACATGTAATGAATCATAGAGGTTCGTAGGAGCTTTTAGAGCTATCGTTCATGCTCCTAGGCCTCTAGTTGGTAGAGATATGTCATGTGGTAGTATGAGTGATGTCATGTAATGAATCATAGAGGGTTGTAGAGATATGCTATGTGGTAATTGTCATACTGACATTTGTTGCACTCAGTTTGCTATCAAACTCAAGAGCAAACTTAGAAATCTCCTCCTCAAACCTACAAGTCACCATACATATCTTGGCTTATCACACCAACAACAGAAGCAATACTACTCAACGATTGCTGCAAACTCTTCTACTACATCTGTTTATGCTACATACATCACAGCATATTATTTGGACACTCATTGAACAAGTTATTAAGAATATCTCCTCCTTAAGGGGGTGGGCCAATACTACCACATGGCATATCTCTACCAACTAGAGGCCTAGGAACATGAACGATAGCTCTAGAAGCTTCTACAACCCTCTATGATTCATTACACGTCATCGCTCCTTAGTTACCCACAAGATTGGTTAAGTTATGACATAATTTGTCTATAGGTACTCTGACCTTGGACCTCCTTTTCACTTCCTATAGGCTAGGAACCCAAGAGATGGTTCTATGGGATTCTCTTACGTTCACTACATGATTAGCAAGCTAGTTGTGGGTCGCACTTGATTTCTAATACATTTACCAAGCCTGGTTAGTCATGGAAAGTCATGGAAAATGAGAGAACTACACTCCTTTGGCATAAATAGGATTGCCCTTTCCTTAAGAAAGGGCAAGCAGGCAATACAGTAAATCGACTATCACATACTTCCACGTCTTTTCCACGCTTCCAAGCATTCATCTTGTTACTCCTTGTTTCTGAAAAGTCAGTGAGGTGTTAACCTCTGACTTACCCCTGAGTTCCCAGACTCAACATTTGTTGCAACTTGTCTGAACCACTTCACTACATCACACACCTGATTGCTGCGTTGTGGAATAGTCTAAGCTACGACCCTTTGGCTCTGTTTTCTAAGACAGTGTGTTGTCTTAGTAAATTCATCCCTTCCTTGGGTGGCTAGATTCTCACATCTGGTGCACCCACCATTACAACAAGAAACGCTGAATTACAGTCCAACAAGGTCAAACATGTAAGGACACAGGGCACCCAGCTCACAGTAATAGCATATGAGAGTGCGAGTCGGAGGCTAAATGGATGCTATCCTATAGGTCTACTACGAAGGATACAAAAAAGATGAAGAGAGGAACCCCCGTTGGGTCAATCTCCTGAAGTACCCGGAAAGGGTCCGACTCGGCTAACTGTTGGAGAGTAGGCCGTGGGCGCTGGGATACGGTGGTATTTGGCCCTATAATCCACTACGGCATCCCAGGATCTCCGACCGGTGCTGGAAACCACCACAGTCTCAACTGGGGTTTCAGCTCTGAAGCCACCAGAATAGGGGGCTTTTGGGGGGTCGAAGCAGAACCTCCGAAAGGCCTACAAATAGCCACGTAGGCCCATTAGATAGTGTAGTTAATCAATCGATCTTATTTTGCTATAGTAAGCTATATACTGTGTGAGAACTCCTGCCCCGTTGCACCCGTGAGAAGTCCCGACCACTGGAGAAACCACATGATTTGTGTGTGATCCCGTACCACGGTACTTCCTGTTCCAACACTAACCTGCCTTCACCCTCACCACGTGACCGTGACTTGTCCGACTCAGATACCTTCCATCACTAAGGGAGAGGAACCCCCGTTGGGTCAATCTCCTCAAGTACCCGAAACGGGTCCGACTTGGCTAACCTGCCTTTACTCTTATCATGTGACCGTAACCTGCCCGACTCAGATCCTTTACGTCACTGAGGGACAGGCATCCTTACAAAACAGCAGAAAGTATGGCAGTTCAACAGAAGAAATATCTCTTTCAAGTTATGTTCTGGGGTGCAATGAGTTCTGAAATCTCTGTCTCACGCCCGTCATTATCCTGGATCCCTGAAAGCATTGAAGAAAAGTGGCAAAATGTGTTAAAACTTCGGGAGATAAATACATACTGGCAAAAAAAGGCAGATGATGAGATTTTACGGGCAAGAACAGTTGGAACTCTCGAATATGAATATATGGAGACTTTAAACAGAGATATCCAAGAAGGGAAAAGCAAATGGAAACGGCCACGAAGACCATCACAAGAATTTGGAGACATGGAGAGTTGGAGTAGAGGAAGAGTTTCAGAAAACCAAGAAGTTTCAAAGGGTGGGATTGATTGATTTTTATACCGTGAAATGGTTTTACTCCCACTTCTCTTTCCTTATTTTCGGAAAATCAAATCATTACATCCAGAAAAACCACCCTTGTTTGTAGATGACAATGTTAGTCTTCATTTGAAAGCACACCGTTCACTTGAAGATTATATGAAAAGAGAAGGAATTCACAGAGTAGGATTCTGGCCTCCAAACTCTCCTGATTTACATCCTATTGAGAACGCTTTTGATTATCTGAAAGATCGAGTTGATGAATATATACCTTTAAATGGAGGTAAGCTTGAGAAAGCTCATGCAAGGGTATTTCTTGAGGAAGAATGGGGGAGGAAAATGGATGGGAAAACTGCTCAACTATGCGTCGTTCAGGGATAAGTTAGAGCGATGTATTGCAGTAAATGGAGGTAACAATTTTCGTGGGTAGATTATGTACATTTCTATGTATTTATTTTTTGAAAGTACTTACAATGACCCACCTCCCGTGCACAGACCCTGTACAGGCTTTTGGGCCGCACGAGTATGTCTGTCTGGTTGTGATGTGAAAGTCTAGATCACACGCCTAGTCGACTCGGATTCCAGCCGACGGGTGGATCCGCGATTATGCACTGCAACATCATTGGCATCTCTGCTGACTGTCGTAGCTGTATTTTTCATGCGAAGTCTCTCGGAATAAGAACAATAGCTTAGTTTATATCAGAATATTTCATTCCTAATCTTGGCTAGAATACATAGGGAGGCGCTAACATTCGCTCTTCGCAGCTGTACAATGCAGTACGCTCGCTCTGACCTGAAGCAACTATCCCTCCAACAAAAAAAAACGTAATTCACTACAACAGGAGCCCGCCACCCAAGAAGCATCCGATGACAACCATGCCGGTATATGCGGCCTTGAAGTCGATAGGGGCAACGAGTCCGTTAGCGGCAGCCTTAGAGGTCTGTCCATGGGTGCCACTGGTGGGGGTTCCGCTTCCATCAGACGAGATGCCATCAGCTCCGGAGGTCTGGGATCCAGCTCCCTTCAAGCCTGGTCCCTTTCCAACATCGCTCGTCATGTACTCCTGAGCCTTCTTGGGGATGGTAGGGAGATCTGAGGTAGTAACGTTCCAGTTCGACGACTTGGGTGGGCACTGGGAGGCCGTGCCCTTGGTAGAATATCCACCGTCTCCGGTTGGGGCCGGGGTGCTGGCAAAGGCGTTCTTCAGGTAGTTGAACCCAGAGAGCTCAGAGACCGACGTGGTGTCCTTGATCTTGACGAGTCCGTAGCCGGAGCCCTCCTCGGAGTACTCGTAAACAAGACCACCAGAGTAGACAGCGGTCATGTCGGTACTGTACAGAGACTTGACCTCCTCGAACGTACGTGGGCCAGGCTTGATGCAACCGTACTCGGACAGGAAGATGGGGACGCCATAGTCGGTGAAGTTCTTGACCTTCTGGTCCCAGCCGGCACCGGTGAAGGTGTTGGGGGCACACCATGAGTAGTCGTTGAAGGCGAAGAAGTCGCTGCGCTCATCGTCGGAACCGCAGTTCATGTAGTGAGCCATGTCCATGCGGTTCTCGGAAACATCCGCGGCGGAGTATCCGACGGGGATCTTGCGGAGTCCCTTGGCCTTGATGTACGCGCGCATATCTCTGGTGGTGGCCTTGACGTAGGGAGCAGCCTCGGTGGTGGTGCCGTCGTTGATGACTTCCTGTAGAATAATTAGAATGAATTTGATTGATCACCTGCGCGAAGAACGTACATTGCCGCTGAAGAAAGCCAAGGTGTTGGTGTACTTGGCGAACTCGTCAATGGTAGCAAAGAGAGACTGGAGGTAGACAGCGTTGTAAGATGGCAGAGGGTCAGCACGGTTGATGGAGTATTTTGGTGTGCTGGCGTCCAAGACCAAGTAGATACCGGCATCGGCGAGGAGACCCATGCAGGTGGTGTGGTCCTTGGTGTTGTCAACAGTGTAGACACGGACGACGTTGGCTCCCAGCTTCTTGAACTCAGCGATGTCGCGCTTGCAGATCACATCATCTGCGAGGGGGTCCTTCGCGTCGGCAGATCCGCCTGGCTGGTAGTCGATACCACGGATGTAGAAGCGCTCGCTGCCCTTGAAGAAGGCGTTACCCTTCACGGTGATGGCCTCGAGAGTTGCTCTCGGCCTGAGGTCGTTGGGGGAAACGTTGCTCGGCACGGCAGTGACGCTGGTGGCAAAGGCCAACGCGGCGGTCATGGTGAAAGACTTCATCTTGATGATCCTGGTGATGAAAGAGGTTTGGATTGGGGCAGTGGAATGGGATTTGTTTGTTGCGTTGCACGAGCCCGAAATGAGTGAGGGGACGGCGAGGGTGAATTAACAAGGCACACGATGTTAACAAGACACACGATGACCCCAACGAATGAGTTGGCCAGTGATTACAAAAACAGATTCGAACGAGTGAAAGACGAGCATAAAAGAGGCTCGAGTGTCAAGAAGGGTTGTTTGAGGGAGGAATACGGAGGCTGGAGAGAAAATGGGGGACGTCACCGTTATAACGACCAGCCAAATCGTAACGAGGAGATGACGAGCCGTGTTGCAGGTGTTGCAGGTGTTGCACGAGAGCGAGGACGGGAAAGGACGTGTGTACTCTGTACTCGAACATGTCTAGGAGGTACATCCATACGGTGGACTTCCTCAGAGTACGCGATGCGGGACGCATGTGTGAGTTGTCGCACAGCCGCCCAGTGGAAATTGTAGAAATTGTTGTTCGCCACTTGCCGCCTTGCACTGCCCGCCCCGGCCCCCCCGGGGGGTGGTACAGTACAGTCTATTCCCGGATATGGACGGTGGAGCGAGATCGTCGATCTCGCAGCGCCACTGATGCTTAGCTGTGAGATGGTCGTGGCTGATTGGATGAAGATGAAGCAGAAACAGATTTGACCTCAAACAAGCCAACACTACTCCGTACTCCGTACGGAGTAATGTACTGACGATGCTACAGGAATTCAGTTTACACACGATCGACAGGCACTGGGGTTGGCTCCGCCGTGACATCACTTTGAGAGGCAACTGCTAGGGGTCACGACATAGGATGGGCCAAGTTGGCACGGACGGAGTATTATACACCAACTGATCGATACTCTACAGAAGTACGTACTACGCGCTCTCCTTCGCTCGTGATACAACAACAGAAGAAGCCTCCAGAGGCCCTCTATACAAGCTGCACATAGCTGGCTGGTACGCTTTTGGTAACCCCTCCCCGTTCCACCTCCGACCAGCCATCTCCGGGATCCTTCTTGACGAGGACAAATCTATCGCCCTCCAGCATGTTGTGCTCCGCATCGCTCTGTGCGGTATAGTCGTAGAGAGCCTCAACGTATCGAAGCTTTCTCGCGCCGCGTTTAGGGGCCACCACGGGACCCTGCTTCTTACTCACACTGCCGGCGACCGACGATCCCGAGTTGGAGTACGTAGATGCAGGGCGTGCTGATAAAGCAGGGGATGGCGAAGGCATCATTTCGAGGTATGATCCTGGGACGAGTCCTTCTCCGAATCCTGACTTGACCTTCACCCACCCAGAGCCATCTACTACCAAGTCAGCGTAAATCCACAAGAGCAATCAAACCAACTTACCATCCGGCTCCGTGATAGTAACCTCATCTCCCTCACCAACAGAGATCTCGCCTTCACCGCTCGCATCGTAAGCGTAGACCATCTTCCCTCTTGGCTCCGATGATCGTACGCCCGATGCCCCATTCGCACTACTACCTGGCAGCTCACTGATATAGCTCGTCGGGGGAGGCGCAACGAGACGCGCCTTTCGCAATGTACCGGCCGGCTTTGAGCTTCGATCTGGTAGCTGTGGTTCTGTTGTCGGTGACTGCGGGCCTCCTCTCGTGACGGAGCGATTTGCACTCGCTGCATACCCAGAACTCAGCGAGTTCATCGTGTTTGACCTACTGAGCGGTGTTGGTAACCCGGAAGGCATATCACCATTCCCAGCCACTGAAGGAGCCCTCCCATGACCTGCGTCCTCTTGTCTACTTGCCTTGAGTTTCTTCTTCTCATCTTTGCTCTGTTCCCCGGGACACTCGGCAGGCACCTTCATTTCGCACTTGCTGTGGCACGTATACCCACAATCGCGGCAGTCGAAGCCCTTCGCTGAAAGGCCCCAGATCCTCTCTCCGCAGAGATCGCAGTTTGTTGGAATTTTGAACGTCTGTGATTTGAAGTTGTGGTTCTTCGCTCCTATTGTAAGGTCACCGATTGTAGTCGTAATCGTGGTTGTTTCTACCTCCACATTTAGCCTCTTGTGGTCGGAATCGTGGAGGTTCTCTTGTGCCATGAGCAGCTGCGACCAAACCACAACCTCATCCCTCTTATCCTTGCCCTCTCGAACAGCCTGCTGAACCCGCTTCAATCCTTCTACTTCCTTTCTCCTCATATCGACATCTCTACGTAGGTCTCCCAGCTGGCCCTTGCTCTTGTTGAGCATATTCCGTAAGAAGACCTTTGCGGGTTCATCCACAATCATGGAGTCATCGTCGTGCCATACGGGGCTGGGCTCGAATGTCTTATTGACCGGCTCTTGCCACGGCGCAGCATTGTGCCGGACAAACATCATGGTGTCCAACGTGGGAATGTTTCTGGGGATTTCCTGTGCGAGGTAATTGATGATATCTGTGCTCCTCTTGATCATCCCTAGCTCCAATGATGCAGCTAGGGACCACAGACCGTTTAGCTTTGCTGTTCGAGCCTCGTTTAAATCCTGAAGGCCGTCTAGTACATCCGGGACATACTCATGATAGTACATTTCCTTTTGCTTGTTCATGGCGCGGATGGCGATCAAGTATGTGTTTTTGGCATTGTTCATTTCCAAGAGTTGCTGCTGATACGAGTTTTGCGCTTTGGCCTTTGAATAGTCGAATGCAGACTCTGACTTCTTCCGCTTGTTCTCAACTTCCTGGCAAGCCGCGTCGTATTTAGCCTTGGTCTTCTTCAGGTCACTGTATGTAGAGTCGCGCTCTTTCTCCAATTTATCCGCGTAATCGGCATGACGTTTTCGGATATCTTCATACCTGAGCCCAAGATTTCGCAGGGGCTCTGCAACATTTTGGACCAACTCGTTCCCGTATCGGTCGTGCTCGGCTGCCCGCGATTCAAGCGTCGTAAGCTGCGTGGTCCACGTTGTGAGGGAAGCACTGGAACGTCAGCATAATCCAAAAAACTCAATCGTATGACCAACCTCTCCAAAGATCCAGGAGTCATTGCCGGCGTATCGCCAACACTTAGCGAGCCGGACTTCTTCGCCTTCTTCTCGAAGTACTTCTTTGCCAAGACATTGAGTTTGGCCCCATACTCCTTCTCGATCACGCTGCGCTCTCGGTAAAATTGCTGTATATCGTCGAGCCATGAGATGCCCTGTGACACCCAAGAGTTGACTGGTTTAAATGCATCCTGGCCGTGTAAGTATTGGCGTGGACAAATGACATGGCAATCAAACCTTGAGCTCGGCCCCAAAGCTGGGAGCTATTTGTACATCGGCCATGGCCGGCGGGAGTCAGCTTAGAGATGCGGTCTGGTTTCATGGAGATTTTGAGGCATCCCCTAGTCTCATTGCTGGTGCATGCGTATGTTGGCAACAGTGATACGAAGTGCCAGGGCGACAGAGTTGAATGATGATTACCCCACCAAAACTAGGCGCTGATTGATGGCTGAGGTGTGGCTCATCGGCGTCTCTGGGGATTCGGGCCGCCGTCACACCAGTTGCTCGTTGGCTTCTAAGCCACCCGGCGACATATTGTTCCGCGCCTGTTTCTATGACACCTACGCTATCCCCAATACAGGAATCCCAAAAGAAACCCCACCATCTTCGCGAGCTTTAAGAATACAGGCAGCATTGAATCAACTCATTCTCTCCAACATACATCAACATATTCGTTCACTCATACGAGCTACGCCGTTGAATTTGTTACCAATTATCGCGATTTCTGGGTTGAGGGCACCTCAGGCCTCACCGCCACCCCACTTCAAAGACTTGGCAGACTTGCCTGTTACAAAAAGAGCCGCGAAACAAAGACTCGTCGACATCTACCAACCTCGAAATGTCGACTCCAGGCTCAGACCAAAAGCCCTCGGGATCGCTTGCAGATCGCATCTCGCAGCCCCCAAAGAATGCTGACGCGCCAACCGCCGCTCTCGCCACCAACGAAACCAAAGCAAAGACCTCGTGGGCAGACGAGGTTGCGTCGCCACCCGCTGAATCGCCCAAAGATGTAGACAAGGCTCAGGTCGATGGCAGCACCGAGCATCAAGGCGGATCTGCCTTGCTTCCAGCAGGAGAGTACGAGGTGGAAGTGAAGCTCAGCGATATCCAAGGCGACACCTCGAGCCCTCTGTACTCCATCAACTCGTTTGAGGAGCTGGGAATGTAAGGAAGCCTGATTATACGGTATTGATTTCACTGCTAACAAACACAGCTCTGAACAGATCTTGAAGGGCATCTACTCGATGAACTTCAAAAAGCCATCCAAGATCCAGGAGAGGGCCCTCCCTCTTCTCCTCGCCAACCCGCCATCCAACATGATTGCGCAGTCTCAGTCCGGAACTGGAAAAACCGCTGCGTTCGTCCTTACGATTCTCTCTCGTATCGACTATAGCCTGAAGCAGCCACAGGCCTTGGTCCTGGCGCCAAGTCGAGAGCTTGCCCGCCAGATCGAAGGTGTTATCCGAACCATTGGACAATTCGTTCCCGATCTCGTGGTCCAAGCGGCGGTCCCTGGTTCTGTGGAGAAGGGAAAGAGACTTGAGGGTCAAGTGGTTGTTGGAACTCCAGGAACTGTCATGGATTTGATTAAGAGGAGGCAATTTGATGTCAGCAAGGCCAGCCTCCTGTGCTTGGATGAGGCAGACAACATGCTCGACCAGCAGGGTCTTGGGGATCAATGTCTCCGTGTCAAGCAGTGAGTGCCTTCATACCCCTCTTTAATATTACCCACTAACAAACCAGCCTGCTTCCAAACCTCACCCAGATCCTACTCTTCTCAGCTACCTTCCCCGACGAAGTCATGCAATACGCGAGGAAGTTCAGCCCCAAGGCGAATGAGATTAAGCTCAAGCACGAAGAGCTCACCGTCGCCGGAATCAGTCAGATGTTTATGGACTGCCCTTCGGAGGATGGAAAGTACGATATTCTCGTCAAGTTGTACGGTCTCATGACCATTGGATCGTCGATTATTTTCGTCAAGGTAGGTTGTCTGAACTGTTCAGATGATATATTTACTGACGTAATATAGAAACGAGAGACTGCCAGCAGAATCGAGAAGGCCATGATTGCTGATGGCCATCAAGTCGCTGCTCTCCACGGAGCCTTTGAGGGCGCAGAGCGTGACTCCATCATCGACAAGTTCAGATCTGGAGAAGCGAAGATCCTCATCACCACCAACGTTCTCGCCCGTGGAATCGATGTGCAGTCCGTGTCCATGGTCATCAATTACGACATCCCGATGAAGGGCCGCAATGAGACCGAACCCGATTTCGAGACCTACCTCCATCGTATTGGACGCACTGGGCGATTCGGACGTGTGGGTGTCAGCATCAGTTTCGTGTTTGACAAGAAGAGCTTCATGGCACTCAAGGCTACCGCGGAGCACTACGGCATCGATCTGATCAAGCTGAACTGGGAGGACTGGGATGAGACGGAGGATATCGTGCAGCGCGTCATCAAGTCGAGCCGCGCGGGTACAAATTTCAAGGGCAACTGATTATATGGGGGGGTTGATACCAGGCAGGATATGAGAAAAATGTCATTGATGAGATGGAAACTGTGGATATGCCTATAGAAATAGCTCTGGTCGGCAGGGGATGGTGGAAGGGGTGGTTCTGCCGCGGGCGTTTAATGTATAGAGCTGCACTTTGCCACAGCTCATAGCATGGATCTGTACTTTGAGACAGAATAGAATAGCGAGTGTCGACGGCTTGTTTCCGAATAAACAAGATTCTATAGCCACGTGATGAACTGTATGGCGAGCTGGACGGGGTCGTTGAGTCTGTGCTCGCGTGTCAATGGTCAAACCGTCAGAGGCGTCGTGAAGCCCGCCCCTCAATCTAGTGCAGCAATGCGTTGGCGACGCAACGTCTATTTTTGGGCGGTGAGTGTTGCCACGTGAGACGGCGATATTTCTCAGTCGTGCACATCGAGTCGTGGGTGCAGCCATGTCTCGCGAATAGTCGTCGATGCCGACTCTTCCTGCTGGCTGGGGAGGGGGGAGAAGACGGGGAGGGATATCTCGTAAAGCGCGTCGGGTATGTCGAGTAATTGGCTCACAGGTCCATGGCAGACGACCATTGGCGTCAAAACCGGTTCTGGTGGGCTTGAATGGACGGTGAGCGGCCACGACAGTAGGCCAGTTACGCGACAATGCGGTCAGCCTGGACGGCGAGCGTTGATCGGTTTGATGCAGGTGCGGGATGGGCATGCCTTGCATGGAAGCGCCGGGAGTCTGAATGAGGCAACCAGAGCATATGCTATGAGATGAGGATGGCGATTTCTCCGTTTGGTGCTGCCAACGGAGCTGAAAGCAGCGATGCCATTCGACAGAACGCGTCCCTCTTTTGGCGTGGTTGACGTGTTTGGCGTGGCTAGGGGGGAGGGGTGGGGGTGCAATTGTACGGTGAGAGCATGTGATTGGCTTTGGGGGGTTTGAGGGTGTTTGGGGGGGGGGTGTGGGTCCAAGCCCGTCCAATCTCTACACACTCTACTGTTTTGAGATAGAATGGGGGGTGTGGTGTTAGAGAGGTATGAAATGGACATGGGATGGTACATCGAAGACACAGTACTGTTCTGGTAGTGGAAGGGCTGGGAGATATACCCACCTACGGAGTACACACACCCACCTCCACACACACATCCCTCACCGCCTCACGTCCTTCCCGCCTCGCTTCTCTCGCTTACTTCTCTCGCTTACTTCTCTCGCTTACTTCTCTCGCTTACTTCTCTCGCTTACTTCTCTCGCTTACTTGTGCTCGAGTCCTCTGCCTCCTCTCACCGGACCTCCTGCTTGGACCAATCACCGTTCCCCCTCAACCCTGAACGAGCCATACTCCCACCCCCCACCTCAACCCTGAACGAGCCAATACTCCCACCCCCTTCAACCCTGAACGAGCCAATACTCCAACCCCCCCCCCAACCCTTTGCGCCTTTGTGTATACGCTAAACACACCCCCCTACTTTCCCTTCTCTCCCGTCCGCCGTCAGTCGAAGGCCCTAATTCCCATTTCGCACCGGCGACTCCACACATCCTCCTCAATCTTCTCTTCTTTCCATCTTCCTCTTCTTCAGCTCCCTCCTCCCTTCCGTCTCTTCCCGTCCCCACTGCGCCGTCCTCCTCGCCTCGTCGTCGTCGAGTTTTCCATAGGCCCATTCGGATCGAGAAAAAAAGGAAGAAAAGAAAAAGCAAAAACTTCGTCGCTCTTCTCACTGTCAACTTCTGCAGCTACTACCTTCTTTCCGGAGCAGTCGCTTGAAGCAAAATACAATCCCGTTGGACAAAAATTGTAGAGAGTCCCGCTTAAGAGAGATCTCGTGGGCATTCCGGATCGCGACTGAGACAACCAGCTTCCATCGAACTACCGACCTTCATTCATCGACCGGCGCGACTCGAGTGCTCGACCTCATTCCTGCTCTTTGAGAGACGCTTTTCTTCCTCGCTGTCCTTTGTGATCTTTCGTTGTGTCGCCCGTCGGCTGCAAGGAACAAACATCTTATACATCAAACACACGGCGCCATTCATTCGATACTGACCATTCAGCTCTCTTCAACTTCGCCCTCCAACGACGGCCCTCTAATACACATAGCAATCAGCACATAATTTGTCGCAGCTTTTTCTTCTTCTTTCGCCGTTTGGTGTCTCTTTTACCGACCCAACTTGGGAATTCACACGCTATATTCACTTTTCGCCTTTCCACAGATCAACATTTGAGATTCACTTGGACTCGACAATTCACACTTCTTGCGCGCATTCACACCGTTGCGATAATTCTCAGCAGTCTTGCATTTTGACCTGAGTCTGAACTCACGCCTAATTTCTCTAATTCAGCTTCGGAGCACGCGTTACCTTCGCACTCTCCTCACTACACTTTGAAAGATACAACAAAACAAAACACTGTACATTACCTCCATAAAACAACCATGAGTATGGGCGCTGGCGGTCTAGCTCAAATGTCGTACAACAACTTCCAAACCATCGGGGTTCCCGGCTCTGGCTTCGCTTCCAGAGGGAAGGGAGCCCACATCAAGCGCCTCTCGTTCGAGCCCACGGCAGCCTCCGACCCGGCCAACAATGGCGCCCCGACTCCTCGCACGAGCCGCTCTCACCTGCTTGCGGGTTTGAGGACGGCCCCGAAGACGACCACTGGAGCCCATTTCCCTCCTTCTGCACCGCCGACCCAACTCCAGCACAAAGGCCTCGACAACAGCATGTACGCGGATAGTAAGAACAACTCTCGATCTGGGTATGGCGCGCCCAAGACATCCATCGGTTCTTCTTTCAGCACGCAGCAGCATCCCAGCTACAACCGTCAGATGTATGCACTCCCCGAGCAGGTCCTGGCTCCCCCGGAGATCCACATCGATGAGCATGGCCAAGAGCAGATGGACCCGAATCTGTATGCCCAGCTGGTTGCCACAAACATGTATCTGGCTGAGCAACAGCAACGGCTGCAACAGCAGCTCATCAACGTCCAGGCTGCTGCTCAGCAGTTCCAGTCCATGGGCCTGGGTCACATGGGCCGCCAGGTGCCGCAACAGTTTGCCACCCCACCTGTCACCCCAGGTGCAGGCATGTACCAACAGCAGGCAAAGCAGAATGGCCAGCCCGTCATAACTCCTGTGCCTGGAGGTCAGCCGGGTCTGTACTCGGTCTACAACCCCATGACTGGCCAGCAGACATACTACATCGACCAGGGTGCACAGCAGGCATACGCTGATAGCCATGACATCTACACGGATTCGGGATCGCCACCGCAGCAGCCTGGCACTCCTCGCTTCCAGGTGTCACCGCCAAGCAACAACGGCATCACTCGCAGCATCTCGCCCCCAAAGAAGAGCGCCTCGCCTCCTCAGGACCATACGCCGCTCCCACCGCCATCGGCCAACGCTTTCCGCCGTGGACACAAGAAGTCGTGCAGCCTGGCCAATGTTCTCACCGTCTCCACGGCCGTGAATGTTGACAGCGGGTCGAGGACTTCTGTCCCAAAGACTGCAGGCTATGCTCCTACTCCGATGACCGGAACCTTTGGTCCTGGACAGGGACGAGCTGGCGAGCACCCCATCCGCCAGCCACGCGGACCGCCATCTCTGGATGAGCTGCGCGCTAAGCCCACGTCCAAGTTTGAAGGCAGCAAGAACTTTTCGACCCGCCAACGCCGCAATGCCGTCCACAACCTGGTTCGCGCTGGGTTGGAGCGTCGCCGTGCTCCGGGATCTGGTTCTGCCGGCAGCATCAGTCCCATAAGCGAGACGGGCGAGCTCACCTGTGCGACGTCGTCGGGCGAGGAGTCTGATAGCGGCAGGAGCGGCAGCGGAAGCCTGTCCGGGCGACCAAGCTTGGGCAGCCTCCGCACCTCAATCCACGGCGCCATTGGCTCGGACAGGCCTTCATCGCGACAGAAGAACCACTCGGTCGAGAACAACTCTGTCGACACAACGCCGACCACGGCAGGCACAAGCGGTGACGAGGGTCCCGCCATCTGCAGCTTTGCCGCTGCCTTCAAGCATGGTGGCAAGAAGCCCGAGGCTGAGCAAGCGCGGCTCAAGGCCCCCATGCTGGTTCTCAGCTCTGTTGAGAAGCGCAAGAGCTCCATCTTTTAAACGGCCGAGCTCGCCCATTTGAAGCACGCGTGGTAGATCCGCGAGTGCAACAGGTGGGTTGATTTTTAGATGACAATTTGATATTGCATGCAGTGCGGATACCCTCCGCCATCGAACTTTTGACGCCGAATACGAATTATTACCAGGCAGCGACACGTCTGGGTCGCTATTTTCCATTTTTAATGACTCTCCTCGGTTGTCACGACACATTACTTGCAGTTGCACGCAAGTCGCGACGGCTTTACACTCGAGGGGTTTTCGTTTTAGTACGGGCGGATTGGATTCTTTCCTGGACGCTTACCCACCCAAGGCCCCTGATGGGATTGCCTTTCTTCATTATTTATAAGCTTGTACGGTTGGCTGGAGTATATTTTGGGTGGAAGCCATTTGAGCTTTGGGGGACGTGGGGGGTCTAGAGGGGGTGGGGTTTACGGGGGTGTATGTAGATCTCTGATGAGATTCATTCATGTTCCTGTGTCGTCTGTACTCGGTTTGCTTGCCATGGCTGGAATGCCTGTGCGGGTAGAGGAGGGACCTCCGGAGTAGATAGGATAGCCAAGATAGTTGGCTAATGCAAGAAGAAATACAATGCAAACTCTCCGCAGTGCGTGAAACGTGAAACATAAGATAGCCGTGAGAATCGTAGCTGTGAATTTCGAAGCTGCATCAGTTAGCGTTGGTCTCGGCCCGTAGCTCTCTTTGTTGCGGATTTCTTTCCCGTGTAGATCATCATCTCTTTGTCATAATGAGATTCTGGAACTGCTACGCCTCTACGTGACGTCACAGCTGTCTCAGGACGAGATTTCTTCGTCAGTGGCCGTCAGTCTCCGTCAGCTGACGTCAGTCGCCGTCAGTCGCCGTCAGTCGTATATTTTCCCCCTTTAAATCTGATGGCATCAGAATTTATAACGAGATCGAGATGACATTAATCGTGCCATTTTCATAGGCTCGGGCTGTGCACGAGAGTGCTCCCCGCCAACGGTCTAGCCGCCCTTCGTTGGGTTCTAGGTCCCCTAGGGTGGCGGATAGGCTAAATCGGGCATCATCAACGGCGCTTTTTGCAACAGCATTTTATTCTCCATTTTTTTCTCCATTTTCTTCTCCAATTTTCTTGAGCAATTGCCATAGATAAGCTATCTATATCTGTGCCAAGTTTGTGGGCCATTTGGAATTTCTAGACCCGTTAGAACCCCCCACTCCTAGTGACGGACGACGGGTTATCAGGGAAGATGCGGCATATCGAGCCAGGTCGTTCCTTCGTCCCTTCCTTCAACTTTCCCAACATATAACCACCCATATATTTATCCTACGTACATACTTCGCTCACTCACTCACAGCACATGCATCTCTTCTGTCTATACTGATTACGACCAACCCATTCGCTTTTTGTATATTGCTATTCTGGTTCTGAATTGTTGTTTCTTATTACTTACTGATATGGATCTGCACTTGCCACTGTCCCTCCCATGATTCATCCCACCACGACATCCTTATCTGACTCTCGAACACCTCGCCGCCACGCCGGCAGTACCTGATTATTATCCCCCGAAACCAATTGACCATATACTCATCTCAGTTTGCCACGGACATGTCGGGCGAACCCGCATCTGCCGGCGAAGGAAGTCAGAACCGACCACACCGACCGAGTCTCGCGGAGGCGAGCCCCAGCGAGCCAGTTCTGCCTGAAGCCGACCCCATTGAGAGACCCAATTCTGCTGCCGAAGTCCCAGAGGTGCATGCGAGACGTGGCCGGGTGCGATTCAACAGCAAGAGCGAGGTCAATGATGTGAGAAACTCGCGGGTCATATTTCCGCTGCGAGACTCAGCGGTAGACGATACGAGACCGCAGCTCCCTGCACATGCTCGAAGAAGCCCGAGAAACACAGGAAATGATATTGAAGTGCCGAAGAAGCGTATTGCCGACAATGAGAATCCGTCCCCGGACGCTTCGGCCGTCGAGGTGGTTGCCCCGGTCCCGAGGAAGCCAAGGCCTTCGGTTCTGAGAAATAATTCAGCCTCGTCATTTACAGAAGATATGATGATAACCGATGATGGATATACGAAGCCAACGTCGGAGAAGGCCTTTTCGGCAAAAGCTGCTCGAGAGAGGGCAAAAAGGGTTGCCTCGCTCGTTGGCCACTCCGCCTCGTCATCAAGAAGTGTCTCCGCGGAGGGATTCCGATCTTATCCTACATCTCCCCTGCCTAGAAAAGGCAGGCAAGATGACATTCCACTGATGGACATGGACAAATACGGATATAACGATGGAAGATTGGACAGTGGCGAAGACGAGGACGGAGAATCCAAGGAGAGGAGGGCAAACGCTAGCACTTCCGAGGCACAGAAACTCGTGCGGACGCTCACTGGGAGGCCTACGTCTGGCCACGTGAGAGTGTTAAGCACCGACTCAACGGCGTTGGAGTCTGGGCAGTTGACGCCAATTCACACGAAGGGTTCTGTCGCACGTCCAGACCGGAACGGAGTTCTGTCTTCGTTGTTAAAGCTCTACAATCCGCAAGACGGACCAGCGCAAAAAGGAAGGACAAGCAGCACTGGGTCGTATGGTGCTCGAAGTGGTTTCTCGACGCCTGGGTCATCGGGCGCTACGACCCCGAAGCAGAAGAATGCAAAGTGGTACAATCAGAAGAGCCAATCCTGCGAGACACTGGCTGGACTTGTGGAAGCATCCTCAAAACTTGCCGCGTATGGTGGAAATACCCCGACTGGACGGAGCAGCAAGCGCCCTCCGATGCATGGCCGAACATCTAGTGGGGGGTTCACGCAGGCTTTTCACAAAATCAGCAGGCCCCGGCTGGAAGATGAGATCAAGATTACCGTTCACATTGCCGAAACGTTGCAAAGGCAGAAATACCTCGTCAGGCTCTGTCGGGCGTTGATGGCGTACGGCGCGCCGACTCATCGACTGGAGGAGTATATGAGAATGACTGCGAGAGTGTTGGAGCTGGACGGCCAGTTTCTGTACATTCCTGGCTGCATGCTTGTTTCGTTTGATGATGTGTCGACGCATACGACGGAAGTCAAGCTTGTTCGTACCCACCAGGGGGTGAATCTGGGAAAGCTCAAGGACGTCCACGAGATTTACAAAGAGGTTGTCCACGACGTGATCGGAGTCGAGGAGGCAACGCATAGGCTGGATTCCATCATCCGCGAGAAGCCCAAGCACAACAGGTGGTTACTGGTGTTCGTGTACGGCCTGGCGAGTGTCTGCGTTGGCCCGTTTGCGTTTGAAGCCAACTTTATCGACCTGCCCATCTCCTTCATCCTGGGATGCGTGCTCGGATTTCTCCAGCTGATCGTCGCGCCAAAGTCGGATCTGTATGCGAATGTGTTTGAAATCAGTGCAGCAGTCATCACCTCGTTTCTGGCACGTGGGTTTGGAAGCATCCCGTACAACGGGGGACGGCTGTTTTGCTTTTCGGCGCTGGCCCAGTCGTCGATTGCGTTGATCCTTCCGGGGTATATCATTCTATGCGGGTCGCTTGAACTTCAATCAAAGTCTATAGTGGCTGGTTCTGTCCGCATGGTCTACGCCGTTATATACTCGCTTTTCCTTGGATTCGGCATCACCATTGGGACGGCCATGTATGGACTAATGGACACCAACGCTACGTCGGCAACATCCTGCGCCAGGCCGATGAACCAATACGCCCGCTTTGCATTTGTACCTCTATTTACGATGTGCTTGTGTATCATCAACCAGGCCAAGTGGAAGCAGACGCCCGTGATGCTCCTCATATCGTGTAGCGGCTATGTGGTCAACTTCTTCACGTCGAGGCACTTTGCATCGAACGCACAGCTGTCACAGACTCTGGGAGCATTGGTTATTGGAGTGATGGGAAATTTGTACAGTCGACTTCGCCATGGTGTTGCCGCAACCGCGTTACTGCCCGCGATATTCGTACAGGTTCCTTCGGGTCTCGCGGCGAGCGGCAGTCTTCTGGCAGGACTGACCAGCGCCGACGGCATTACGAACACGACGAATAAGACGATCCCTGTAAGCAAATTTTTGCAGCTTCTCCCTGCTGATTATAGAGCCGCGACTGCGGACGGTGGCGGGAAGACTACCATTTCGTTCTTGATTGGTACTGGCAGCGCTCTCGTTTGTTTTGCTAAGCTTCTTTGACTTTTTATATCTGCCATCTATCCCCGATTTGTCGTCATTTAATGGTTACTTGGAGGAGAAACGGGATTGCGTGTGACATTGCTAACTATTTTCAGGTCGGACAGGAAAAAACGGAGCTCAACTCGATTGTGTTTAATGTTGGATATTCGATGATACAGGTTGCGATTGGGATTACGGTTGGGCTCTTCTTGAGTGCGTTGATTGTGTATCCGTTTGGGAAGCGAAGGTCGGGATTGTTTAGCTTTTGAGCAGGTGAGATGGCGTTTGGATGGCGTTTGGATGTAGATACTTACAGGCGCTAGAGCCATTCATCAATCCAAACATTGTGCACCGTCGCTATCGGTTTGACGACGCAAACGTAATAGCTTCTCTTCGTGGGATTTTCCACGTCTGTCTTAGCACAGCCGCCTGTCCGTGACATTCTAATAGAGGAAAAGGTCTTAGCGTTTAGAGTTTTAAATTTTCTTAGAAATAATTAGGTATATTTAAAGACCTTAAAGAGGTCTTTAAAGGTCGAAATTAGCCAGGGTTAGGGATTAATTAAGGGCAAAAGAATTCAATACCATGCATCACCCCTGTAAAGAACTTGATACCTAGTAGATAGCTAAAAGAATACAATACCCTGCGAATGCCACCTAATTGGTGACGTTCTCCCTGACTCCCCAACTCCTGCCTCCAGAAGGCTTTCCATGACCAGCTGCAGCACCCCTAATGCCCCCGTAGCCCCTGTAGCCCCTGTAGCCCCCTTCCTAATCCATGAGGTCGCCGACACGACCTCATGTTGTGCCCTGGCTCCCCACAGGTGCTACAACGAGAGGGTACCAGATCTGGTACTCTCGCCACAACAGCACCAAGAGGGAGCAACCCTCCATGATCCCGCTCTCGTCGACCAGAGCGTCTCCCGTCCTCTCTCCGAACGCGCATCTTCTTCGGCCTGCCACGCGGTACTCGCGTGGCAGGAGGGTGGCAGGCTGCCAGGGGAAGGATCTCCAACTCCGAGACATCCACAGGAGGCAGCGGTGTCTCATAAGACGCTGCCCAAACCTCTGGAGAGAGGATTGGGGGCAGCAGGGGGGGGATCGGGGTCCCCGTCGCTAAGAGGAAGGTCATGACATGCCCACAAGGCACGTCATTCTGCTGATATCGATGGCAAGAACAGGTTTTTGCCATTAGGTCAACGAGGTGGATAGCCCCCTTGGGCTCAACCACCCTCCCCGACGTTGGGGAGGACACTTGAATGGTGTTCCTCCCTGCCCATAGCCTAGGCTATCTACGAAGGGCACGGTTACCCTTCGCTCCTCAATGAGCTTAAGCGCTCGGGATCGCCGGCCCGAGCGCTTCTCCATCACCCGATGCCATATGGAATCGAGGAGCTCTAGAACAGGGAGCTCCCTCTCGACTAAGAGCGTCGAATTGACGCTCTCAGCGATGTTGCTTGTACCGTGGCCGAATCGACGGCCATGAAAGAGCGCCTCTGCCCAGGTCCACGGCTCAGCAGCCTCGAGGTAAGCTGCCGCAATAGGCTTCACCTCTCGAAGGGCATTGAGGGCACCCCCATTGTTGGCCCAACTTGCGGCTAGGGCGAGAGTTTTTCAAATTTTTGGTCGATAGGAATACGATAATTGGAGGCAGAATGACGATTATCTTAAATATCAGACAATATATGGTGTTTTGATTCAGTGCGAGAAAATATATCGCACAATTGAATATATCTGCTAACCGAACATCGTTTTAGCAGCATTTGACTGTATATACCATTCTGTTACTATTTCGAGAATCTGAGTAGTCCGCGCTACCCACTCACGACTCAACCACTCATCCATCCAATCGCACATCACCGCCAAGTCTACCAACCTCGCTGTCATCATTGTCGCTGTCACCATTGTCATTGCAGTCGACATTGCAGTCGACCTGTAGTAGGGCAAACTGGCAGACTCACCGCCCTCTGCCCTCATTTGTGGCTGCCCTGAAGGACTTGATTTTCTGGCATTTTACTAGCCTGCAGAAGCGCTGCTCATTTTTTGAGAACATGGCTTCGCTTGGTGAACTCGTTGAGCCTTTCGATGGTACAGAGTACCTTGATATTGGTGCTATGATCCACGCCCTGGACGATTGGGCAGTTAAGGGAAAGTTTACCTTCCGGACAGCATACCAAGACCCTGGCCGTGCCGCCTGGATTTGTTCAGAGGCCAAAGCCCTTGACTGTCGCTGGCGCTGCTGTGCAGTGCAACGAGCATAGGACAGCTACTGGGAGCTTGTTGTCACTGTGGCTGAGCACACTTGTGTTGGCCGAGGCACTCAGCACTTTTCATCTGCCTCAAAGAAGGAGTGGCTAGGCCCTGTAGTCTCTCGTCACTTAAATGTGACAAAGGCCACAACGCCTAAAGACATTGTTGACCTCCTATGTGTGGGTATCACTGCTGAGGTCAGCTACAAAGTAGCTCAGCTTTGCCACCTCTGCCTCCTCGATGGCGACATTGGCACTCAGCGACATAGCTTCCAGCTGCTGCCAGCTTATAAGCAGCACTTAGAAGCTATTTGTCCTCATTGTAACACTGACTTCTAAACGATAGAAGACACAGAGGTTTCTTGCATAAGGTTGACTTGACAGAGGAGGCAGGGGATTAGACACAAAGGCTTTCCAAGTAACACGTTACAGTATTGTAAAGAATACTATATTGAGTTGAGCATGAAGCTCCTATCTAAGGAAATACTATCTACTTATATAGTGGCATCGTGCCTCATGGGTAATCTGGATAGTTGGCGGATAGCTAGATATTCAGGATAGTTCATGAATAGCTCAACTATCCAATATTCACTAGTTTCTGCAACTATCCATTAGCCCCGTCACATGGCAGCCTACCCCACTTGCCCCCTGTGACTCACATGTCACGTTACTAGGTCCTGGTCCTGTAACCATGATGTCACGTTATCTTAGCCGTAACACTTGGGCCCAGATCCATTTAACACATGCACCGGTCGGCAGACTATGACCTTATTCACTACACGTGCTGGTGGAAACACGATCACCGCACAGGGGCTGCAAGCACCACCAACCCAGGTTGATTCAGGAAACCAAGCAGTTGAGACAGAGGACTTAGACGATAGCATTTTTAGAGACGAGGACCCAGTTGCGGCCCACAAAAAGCGCCGCAGAGCTGCACAAGGTACCAAACCTACGAAAAAAGTGCCAGACCCGAGGAGGTTGCGCAAGGCCTGTTCATGGCGAGGATGGGGCTTGCTGAGAAGGAAACTGGACGAAAACTACAGGACCGAATAAAGGACATATACGAGATGGCAGTAGTTATGGAGGGAGACGTTTACGACCATCGGTGTTGGGTTAAACAGCATCTAATGAGAATCCAGGTGAGGGATATGTAACCAACTACTTCCTCCAGGACATATTCTCAATTGCCGGCATCGTCGTATTGTCACTCTCATCAATGAGACTAAGGAGCCAGGGTGGAACACAGTACAGATGGCTCGCACACTCCAGAATGACAAGTCAGTGCCAGAGGATGTGCATCAGATGTTCAAGGCCTTTGAGGTTGACAAACTAAGATCCGAGTCTAGAACTGTAACCAACCTGGATTTTGTTCATGCCTTGGAAGATAAGGTGAAAGCATTCGTTAAATTCAACCAATGTCGTCGCAAAGTGAGCGACCGTGACCCAACCATGATGGAATGGCTGCTGAAATTGGGGAAGACCCGCCAAGGGTTCAGTTATCTATCCATCTTTTACGAATTGACTGGTGAGTTGCTAAATCTTAATAAAGGGGAGGATGTCACAAAGAATAAAGGGGAGGATGTCACAAAGCATTACGAGGGGGGCGCAATCATATACGATATAATTGAAATGTTTGGCCCCAGCATACTGTAAGGACAGTTTGAACCGAGGCTGACCTTCAAGTCTGCAGAAGTATCCGAAGTATAATGTGAAGACTTCGATACTCGAAGCAGTAGGACAAGGTATAGTAGTTCAGGCTCCAAAGCATATACTTTATACCACAGGGGTCAAGTGGTGAGACTAACAGGTTGGCCAAGTGGTTCGACTCGAAGTAAGGGAATGCAAAGTAAGTCGAAGCAGGAGAAATTGCAAGAAGGCCAAGTAGTATATAATTTGCTAGCTAAAGATCAATAAGAGACATGAGCAATAAGTGCTTATATAACAGTAAAAATCCCTAGTGCCAAATAAGTGAAGGCACTAATTAACTGAACCCTAGCTAAGCGAGCCCTAGTGCAGCAAGCCAATAACAAGAGAGCCTAAGCCAGTAGTCAACATTTGGGCTGATCTAGGTCAGCAAGTGAAGCGAAGTGAGTGAAGCAGGTGAAGTGAATGACATAGTGAAATAAGTACTAGAGACTAAAGCGAATCGAAGGGTCGTGACACAAATATTGAAGGGGTGTCATGACACATACTACCCCTACTACCAACAAACTCGGTAAAGTAGTGAGTTATCATTACCCTGCGTATGGAAGCTACTGACAGCAGCAATATTTGGACGGATAAAGTTCCAAAGGGCCTTCGAAAGGACGTTATGCAGCTATACCACGAAGCATTCCCGGAACTTCAAGATATATGCGACATAGTCAATGAGAAAATAATGGAGCCAATAAGGAAAGGTAAGAGGCCAGATATCGAGATTAACATCAAAGGGCGCAGTGTTATGCAGTGCCTGATGTCATACTGACATTCGTTGCACTCAGTTTGCTATCAAACTCAAGAGCAAACTTAGAAATCTCCTCCTCAAACCTACAAGTCACCATACATATCTTGGCTTATCACACCAACAACAGAAGCAATACTACTCAACGATTGCTGCAAACTCTTCTACTACATCTGTTTATGCTACATACATCACAGCATATTATTTGGACACTCATTGAACAAGTTATTAAGAATATCTCCTCCTTAAGGGGGTGGACCAATACTACCACATGGCATATCTCTACCAACTAGAGGCCTAGGAACATGAACGATAGCTCTAGAAGCTTCTACAACCCTCTATGATTCATTACACGTCATCGCTCCTTAGTTACCCACAAGATTGGTTAAGTTATGACATAATTTATCTATAGGTACTCTGACCTTGGACCTCCTTTTCACTTCCTATAGGCTAGGAACCCAAGAGATGGTTCTATGGGATTCTCTTACGTTCACTACATGATTAGCAAGCTAGTTGTGGGTCGCACTTGATTTCTAATACATTTACCAAGCCTGGTTAGTCATGGAAAGTCATGGAAAATGAGAGAACTACACTCCTTTGGCATAAATAGGATTGCCCTTTCCTTCAGAAAGGGCAAGCAGGCAATACAGTAAATCGACTATCACATACTTCCACGTCTTTTCCAAGCTTCCAAGCATTCATCTTGTTACTCCTTGTTTCTGAAAAGTCAGTGAGGTGTTAACCTCTGACTTACCCCTGAGTTCCCAGACTCAACATTTGTTGCAACTTGTCTGAACAACTTCACTACATCACACACCTGATTGCTGCGTTGTGGAATAGTCTAAGCTACAACCCTTTGGCTCTGTTTCCTAAGACAGTGTGTTGTCTTAGTAAAATCATCCCTTCCTTGGGTGGCTAGATTCTCACATCTGGTGCACCCACCATTACACCTTGCCTGCTTCAAGCTTCAACTATTTCTATAGCAGCACTTCGATACTACAATGGAGGACGACCAAGCTCCTACAACTACTGCTGAACAGCAGATGCAACAACTGTTTGCCTTTATACAAACTATAGCAAACAAACTTGAGAATTTGGAAAACACCTTTCAAGCCAACACTTCAGCAACACAATCTTCAACTCAGACACATCATACAGAGCTTCCCACAGCTCTGAGGGTGAAGTAGATGTCCAGTTGCATAAGGAATCCCTTCAACTTCCTCCTGTCTCCATGGTATAAATCTGGTGTTTGCACTTTAGGAAGTGCACCTGGGGTACTCGAAATAGCTCAGAAGATCTATTTTGCTGCCAGCTACCTCCGTGGATCTGCATTCAACTTCTTTGAGCCATATCTTAGAAGACTTAGTGGCAACAACCAAAATACCACTACACCTTTGATTACCTCTTATGACCAGTTTCAAGAGGAACTTACCAGGACCTTTGGAGACATCAACGAAACTGCTACAGCAGAAAGAGAGCTACAGAAGCTATGTCAAAAGACCTCTGCTGCTCAGTATACAACAGAATTTAGGAGAATCACTTCTCACTTGACTTGGAATGAAGAAGCCTTAGTCTTCACTTACTACCAAGGGCTCAAGAGCTCTATTAAGGATGAACTCAGCAAAGAAGAACGCCCTACAACACTTCAAACGCTTATAGAGAAAGCTGTCAGACTTGATGATAGGCTTTTTGAAAGAAGAAAGGAGAAGAACCAAGACTGGCATCCAACAAGAAATTTCAACAATTACACCTCTACACCAACTGCTAAGGACTCAGCACCTGAACCTATGGACTTAGACGCCTCTATAAAGAGATCTACAGCAAATCCAGCACCTCAGCCTACAGGAAACCCTCAAAAACTGAAAAGGGGTAAACTTACCCCTCAAGAAAGAAAACACAGAATGGACAACAACCTTTGTTTATACTGTGGCAAAGGGGGACACAGAATTCAGGAGTGCTATTCAGCACGAGGGAGTGCTGATTCAAAACATATAGCAGCCTCAGACACAGTCACAACTGCTATTCCTGAAAAACTTGAAAAATCCCTAGCAGGCACAACTTCAACTGAGACTATAACTTCTCCCCTAGACAACAAAGATGTGTCGATGGTGCTTTCTCAGAGTCTCACACACCTGTTAATCCCTATTCAACTCCATTTCAAACAACAGGTGTTGTCTACAAGGGCTATGATAGACTCAGGGGCAACAGGCAACTTTATATCTCAAGACCTCATCTTGACACACCAGTTACCTACAATTCCCAAACGCACTCCAGAGTTGCTCCGAGTCATTGATGGAACTCCTATCAGTTCAGGTTCCATTACCTGCAACACCCCAGTACTCAAACTTGAGATTCCCCTAGGAAAATCAACATTTTCAGACACCATCTCTTTAGATGTTATACCAATGAAGTACCCAGTTATCCTAGGTCTTCCATGGCTTCAAAGGCATGATCCAACTATCAATTGGAAGCATTTATCGCTTGGGTTTAGCTCAAATCCTGAGCTCAATACTGAAAAAACCCTTCAAGCCTCAGTTACCCCTATTCAGGTCCAAGACTCAAACTTGTCCCAGATCAAGGATTTTGACCAAACTATGGACGATATATCATCTCTGATATGGGTTAAACCTTTCCAACCTGTCCTGGAGATAGCAGCTACTTCAGATTTGGAGAAATCATCTCAGGAGGTCATTTTGCCTTTAGCATACCAAGACTACCAACATCTTTTTGACAAGGCAAAGGCATCAATTCTGCCAAAGCACCAGCCTTATGACCATGAGATACCACTCGCAGAAGGCTCAATGCCTCCCTACGGCCCTATCTACTCTCTATCTGAATTAGAGCTGAAAACTCTCAGAGAATACCTAGATGAGAACCTTAGTTCTGGCTTTATCAGACCTTCTTCCTCACCAGCAGGAGCTCCCATTCTCTTTGTCAAGAAGAAAGATGGCTCCTTGCGTCTCTGTGTTGATTATAGGGGCCTTAATGCAGTCACTGTTAAAAACAGATATGCTTTACCCCTTATCCCTGAGCTCATAGATAGGCTCTCTTCAGCAAGGATCTTTACCAAGTTAGATCTCAGGGGAGCTTATAACCTGATACGCATCAAGGAAGGTGATGAGTGGAAGACAGCATTCAGAACACGCTATGGTCATTTTGAATACCAGGTAATGCCTTTTGGGCTTGCCAATGCACCTGCTTCTTTCCAAGCTCTCATGAATGATATTCTAAGACCTTACTTGGATATCTTTGTTGTTGTCTACTTAGACGACATTCTTATATACTCTTTAGACACTCAAGAGCATGTTCTACATGTTAGACAAGTCTTAGAGAAGCTATCTCAAGCACAACTCTTTTGCAAACTTGAGAAATGTCTTTTCCATATGTCTCGAGTTGATTTCTTGGGACATAGAATTTCAACAGAAGGCATTCAGATGGACCCTGAAAAGACAAAAGCAGTACAAACGTGGCCTATTCCTTCCAGCATTAAAGAGGTTCAGTCTTTCCTTGGGTTTGCCAACTATTACAGGAGGTTTATACCAAGATATACATCCTTGGCTTTACCCCTTACTCAATTACTTCACAAGGACACTTTGTATCACTGGGATAAGACACAGCAAGATGCTTTCGATGCTCTTAAAGGAGAATTTAAAGAAGGGAAAATGTTACTACACTTTAACCCCTTGAAACCTGCCACTCTTGAGACAGATGCCTCAGATTTTGCCATTTCTGGAATCTTATACCAAGCTCCAAAAGACAAACAAGAAGAGCTATAGCCTGTGGCATTTTACTCAAGAAAGCTATCAGCAGCCGAACAAAACTATCCCATTACAGACAAGGAACTGCTTGCCATAGTATGTTCTCTAAAGCATTGGAGATGCTACCTTGAAGGGGCAAACTATCCTATCACTATTTACAGTGACCATTCAAATCTCTTGACCTTTACAACCACTAAACAGCTCAATCGACGACAAGCAAGGTGGTCTGAACAACTAAGGTTTTGACTTTGTTATAAAACATGTCTCAGGGGCCAAGAATCAAAGAGCAGATCTCCTCTCAAGAAGACATGACTACCAAGATTCTGCTAAAACTAGCAATACAAAGGCTCTTCTAGACTCAGCAAAGCTTATAGCAGCATCTTTAAGCAACCCTAGTACTTTAGAGGACTTAGGGGTAAACTTATCCCCTCAAGACCAAGTTGCCCCCATTACCTCTTCTCAGGAACCAGAGACCTTTAAAGACTATACACCCTCAGCAACACTTCTTAAAGCATTCAAAGATGCTTACAACCATGATCCCTTTGCGAAAAGAACTTTGGAATACCTCCAGAAGAAAGGTTCCTCTCTTGAGAAAGTTGGACTACAGAATTTCTCAAAAAATCAGCATGGACTTCTCTTATTCAAGAACTATATCTATGTCCCAAGGGATAAACGATTACAGCTACACCTCCTACAGCAGTTCCATGATGCTCCAGCCGCAGGGCACTTTGGCTTTGCAAAAACTTATGAACTTCTAACAAGAAAGTTCTATTGGCCTAGTCTAAGGACTACTCTTCAAGACTATATATCTTCTTGCACTACTTGCAACTTGAACAAACCTACACGGCAAAAGCCCTATGGCCTCTTGCAGCCTCTACCTATACCAGAACGCCCATGGGACTCCATATCCATTGACTTTATAGTCAAGTTGCCTCCTTCTATCCCAAAAGGGGGTGCTACCCCTTATGACTCTATCCTTGTGGTGGTAGAAAGGCTCACAAAAATGGCACACTTTGAGCCTTGCAATGAGACTATCACAGCTTCTGAACTTGCGTGGCTATTCCTCAAGGTGGTCTTTAAATATCATGGAATTCCTGGACACTGGATCTCAGATAGGGGAGCAGTTTTCACTTCAAACTTTTTTAAGGAGTTCTCTAAACTCTTAAACATGGAACAACGCTTCTCTACAGCTTATCACCCTCAAACAGATGGCCAGACAGAGAGAGTCAACTCTGTACTTGAACAATATCTAAGAATTTATACAAACTATGCTCAAGACAACTGGGCAGATCTTCTCCATCTTGCAGAATTTGCTTACAACAACACAGTCTCTAACACCACAAAAGAGACACCTTTCTATGCAAACTATGGTTATCACCCTAGGTTTGAAGTGGCAGAACTGAATTGTCCTGAAAATTTCAAAAACCCTTCTGCTACTGAAAGAATCATCTACCTTAAGGGCCTCCAGGACTATCTCAAGGTTCAAATACAGCGTGCACAAGACGAGCAGGCTCAGGCCTTTAACAGGGGTGTGGTTGCACCACAATTCAAAGTTGGTGATCAAGTCTTTTTGTCTAGAAGACATATCACAACTACTAGACCTTCAGACAAACTTGATACTAAAAGACTTGGACCTTTTAAGATCACAAGGACTATTGGCAAGAATGCTTTCGAGCTTGCATTACCACCTACTTGGACTATCCATAATGTCTTCCATGCATCTCTCTTGTCTAAGGCACAAGAAAGTTCCTTAAGACCACTTCAGTCTCCTCCACCTCCTGTTCTGATCTTGGATCAACCAGAATATGAAGTAGAGTCTATCCTTGACAAAAAGACACTTAGAGGTCAGGACTACTTCCTCGTTAAGTGGAAAGGCTATCCTACAAGTGACAACACTTGGGAGCCTAAGAGAAATCTAAAAAATGCATCTAAGCTCATTCTAGAATTTCTTTCTAAGAAAGCCACCTGGCTAAAGGGCAAGCAGACAGCCCACAAACGTCCTTAAAAGGGGGATCATGTCATACTGACATTCGTTGCACTCAGTTTGCTATCAAACTCAAGAGCGTTTGTGATTGGATGCGATGAGAGCGAGGGTGGCGGGGTAGGGAAGAATGGTGCTTGGTGGAGCTGCTCTGACGAGACGTTGGAATCCTCATTGTCGTGGTCTATAGGTTTAGTGTTGCCATTAACAGACACGTCTTTGGAGCCGTCGAGCTTGCCACGGCGGAAGTGCTCTTCTGCATGGAGGACACAGAATAGCTGGCTCAGGTAGTCGTGTTTATGCTTTTGGGGACCATCGAACCAGGGTGTCATAACGTTGTAGGTGACTTCTTTGAGTTTAGTAACAGTGATACCATGCTGCTGGGCTGGGCTGTTAGGGTCTTGGCTTACAACAAGGCCCAGGATGTGTATAAGGAGGGGGATGCGCTCTGGAGTCATGTTAACCATGGGACGGGATGGAGACAGGGGAAATAAAGACACATACCATGCTTGTGTAGGTGATCTATCTCCACATGCCTGATATCTCAGGCCACCATGGTGGAGAGGCGGCAAGCCTTTTCCCAGGGCCCTTGGTATATTGGTATGTACCTTGCTTTTTGGGCTCGAGGAGCTTCACCCATGTCTTTCCAATAGCCCTGCATGCAAGCTGTTGTATACCTGTAAGGCACTTATAGTAGACAGCGTTACGGGCAGTATCGTCCCCGATCTGAATCATTTCGGTAGAAAGGGTAGTGACGGCGTGGTCGCAGGTCTTAGGCTGGCGGCCTAAAACATTTAGGAGCATGTCCTGAAAGTCGGGTGTGAAGAGGAGTTTGGGGTCTGTCTTTATTTCAGTAGAAACCAAGGTATCAATCTGGCCGTCCGGGCGGGCTATGGCGAGGGCAAAGGAAGCGTATTCGATCTCATTTATGGCAGCAATGATGTCCTGTAGCACGTTAAGCTTCATTCACTGCCTAGCTAAATTCCTGTAATGCTTACCATGTTCTTTGATGTCTGCTTAGGCGTGTTGTTGAGATAAGTGTCCATTTTACTAGACTGGAACTAGTCTCCCATCGTCTTTTGGCAACTGCCAATAAGAGTTGATGGGGAAATGAGAGCCAATCTGATAGTATGTTAGGTACAGTTAGGTACAGCTATGAGAATGGCGGCTCAGCGACTTACTGGTAATGCAAGGCAGTGATGAGCGTATATGTGACTGCTCTTAAATGATACATTTCACCCTGCCCAGAGAAGAAGGATGTTCTATATAGATAAAAACCTGCACCCTCCTGGGGCACCCTAGTCTTCGCCATCCCTCCCCAATTCCCCAATCAATTCCCCGGCCTGCCACGCAGCAGCAAACGAGGACATGCATCTGCGTGTGCGAATAGTATACTATTCTCCCCCCTGAATAATTGTCATGATCCACTCTTTTGTCAAAAACCTACAGCCAGTGATTTCATCTTATTTACGCCTTTTCACCTAAATCAGTAGGCTTGCACGTACTGCAAAAGAGTGGATCATGGGTGAGGATGGAAGGTAACAGCAAGGCTACAGGTAAGGTATTTCAGAGCACAAGGACATAAGCACCAATAAAGTTCAACTAGAATTGCATACACTAGTTTGGATGTCCTGACCAAAATAAATACCATTAGTGATAGTGAATGCTAGATTACAACCGTGGAGAGTAGTGAGCCACTTTTTGTACTCCAAACGCCATATCTTTCTGTCAAGTGAAGCAGACATTAGTTCACTCCCATCTAGTGAAAACTCCATTGTCTCAGTGTCTTCAACTAGTTTGCCGCCATTGTCCCGAAGCATCAGAGGCGTGGTGTGCTTTGTATAGTCCCAGAGCCACACTGCTTGATGCGAAGCTAACGCCAGCAGTTTACTGTCAGGTGAGAATACGGGCAAGCGGGCGCTTCGTGAAGAAATACTCCTCCGTGGTGACCTCAATGACAGGCCTTATAAAAGGGGCAAAGGCCGGCAAGCAGACCGGGCTGTTTGTATGGGGTGTAGAACAGCAAGGAGCCTTCGACCAGCTTAAGAAGGCCTTCACCACAGCCCCCACGCTGGTCTATTTCGATCCAAGCCGTAGAATCAGGCTGGAGACAGACTCGTCAGGGTTCGCCCTTGCTGCAAACCTGTCCCAATTGGTGGAAGGGACTGGGCCAGAGCAGAAGGACGAATGGCACCCAGTTGCCTTCTTCAGCAAGAAGCTGGATCCAGCTGAGGTGAACTATGAGACCCATGACCAGGAACTCCTGGCAATAGTGAAGTCCTTCAAACAATGGAGGCACTACTTCGAGGGAAGTTGGTACCCAATTGAGGTCCTTACAGACCACAATAATCTGAAGTATTTTATGGAAACCACTGCCCTTACAAGAAGGCAAGCACGATGGGTGCAGGCATTGTCCGCGTATGATTTCCATATTGCGTACCGGGCTGGAAAGACGAACCCAGCCGATGGCCCTTCAAGGAGACCAGACTATGAGGTCGAGAAGGACAACCAGAACGTCATGTTACCAACCCTTAAAGATAAGCTCCGAAGAGCCATGCAGGCAGGAGATGTCCTACCAATGGACATGGCAATGGTAAGCGCAGAAGGCGCCAGACCGGACGAGAACCAAAATAAGGACACCAAGAGTCCAGGTTTTGTTGTCCCTAGAGTTGCAGTGACAGCCATAACTCAGGGAGAGAGCGCCTATGGAGCTGCAACGGGCCCACTGACCGACTTGATTAAAACCCTTCAGGCGACTGACGAGTTAGCTGTTAAATGGGCCAAGGATGCTGGGACGGTGCAAGTGAAGGGCTCTCCAGGTTGGAAGGTAGACGATGCAGGCATCCTATGCTTCAAGGCAGTATACGTACCTCCCAATCAGGCAGTGAGGATGGAAATCTTCAAGATTTGCCATGACGACCCACTGGCCGGGCACTTCGGGTATAAGAAAACCCAAGAGTTGATCCAACGCAAATACTACTGGCCTGGGCTCGCCGAAGAGACCCAGAAGTACGTACAAGGCTGTAATAGATGCCAACGCATCAAGCCCGTAAGGCATAGGCCATATGGTGAAATGCGCAAAGCCAAGGAATACCTGGACTTCTCGATGGGTCCTTAGTACTGGCCATTCAGCGATTGCAGCTACATGGTCGCTTTCCCCATGGCTACTCCTTCCGTAGTGACAATGTACCCAAGGAAACTTACTTCTTGACATTGAACGCGCACTTTGATAGCTTCACATATAGGTTCGCCTCACGTAGGCATCCTAGGACCTCTCGTACGTGGTTGGCATGTCCCTCCTCGTCCTGGGAGTAAATGAGGATATCGTCAAGGTACACCACACAGGTGGTGTCCATGAGCCCTTGTAGGGTCTCGTTCATGTATGCCTGAAACGTTGCTGGCGCATTTGCCAACCCGAAAGGCATCACTCGATATTCGAAGTGCCCATAACGGGTGCGGAAGGCTGTCTTCCACTCGTCGCCTGGGCGAATTTGGATTCAGTGATAGGCGTTCCGGATATCTAGCTTTGTGAAGCACCTTGCCCCTTGGAGTCAATCCAAGGTCTCAGTGATGAGTGGCAAGGGGTGCCTATTCTTCACAGTGATCTTATTCAGGCCCCTATAGTCCACGCAAAGATATAGGCTTCCATCCTTCTTCTGGACAAATAGGATAGGAGCGCCTGCAGGGCTCACGCTCCTTCGGATCCATCCTTTCTTCTCGCTCGCGTCAAGGTACTCGCGAAGCGTGGCCAGCTCAGTTTCCGATAGATTGTATACTGGCCCATACGGTGGTTCCTGGGTTCCTGTATCAATGGCGTGGGTTTTTGTAATGGTGGGTGCACCAGATGTGAGAATCTAGCCACCCAAGGAAGGGATGAATTTACTAAGACAACACACTGTCTTAGGAAACAGAGCCAAAGGGTTGTAGCTTAGACTATTCCACAACGCAGCAATCAGGTGTGTGATGTAGTGAAGTGATTCAGACAAGTTGCAACAAATGTTGAGTCTGGGAACTCAGGGGTAAGTAAGAGGTTAACACCTCACTGACTTTTCAGAAACAAGGAGTAACAAGATGAATGCTTGGAAGCTTGGAAAAGACGTGGAAGTATGTGATAGTCGATTTACTGTATTGTCTGCTTGCCCTTTCTTAAGGAAAGGGCAATTCTATTTATGCTAAAGGAGTGTAGTTCTCTCATTTTCCAAGACTTTCCATGATTACCAAGCTTGGTAACTGTAGTCAACATAAGAGAATCCCATAGAACCATCTCTTAGGTTCGTAGCCTATAGGAAGTAAAAGGAGGTCCAAGGTCAGAGTACCCCTATAGACAAATTATGTCATAGACAAATTATGTCATAGACAAATTATGTCATAGACAAATTATGTCATAACTTAACCAATCTTGTGGGTAACTAAAGAGCGATGACATGTAATGAATCATAGAGGTTCGTAGGAGCTTTTAGAGCTATCGTTCATGCTCCTAGGCCTTATTTGGTAGAGATATGTCATGTGGTAGTATGAGTGATGTCATGTAATGAATCATAGAGGGTTGTAGAGATATGCTATGTGGTAATATCGGCCCAGTAACTAAGGAGCGATGACGTGTAATGAATCATAGATGGTTGTAGCAATCGTTGAGTAGTATTGCTCTTGTTGTTGGTGTGATAAGCCAAAATATGTATAGTGACTTGTAGGTTTGAGGAGGATTTCCAAGTTTGCTCTTGAGTTTGATAGCAAACTAAGTGCAACGAATGTCAGTATGACAGTTTTCCTTCCTAGCTCTGGGAGGTCCTCTGCCTTCTCTTCGGAAAAGACGTCAATATACGCCTCGTACTCCTTTGGGCACTGGGTGAGGATATTGTCTTCCATGCTCAGAGCCAAGACAAAGGCTGTATCACCTTCCTCCCACTTTTCAATGTCCGACACCTCAGCCCTTGCAATATCAAAGGGCTGGCGCCAGGTCTGTCTGCGCCAATCAATTTGGGGGTTCACTTGCGCTATCCAGTCCATGCCCAGGATGACGTCTACACCTGGGGTGTCCATGGAAAGGAGGGTTTGGGTGACTACACACTCCCTTTTGAAGTGGTCCCTTGTTCAGATCTGGGCGGTAGCTGCCCCATATATCGTAATATCCTTTCCATCAACTGCCCTTGCACGTAGGGGTGCCTTGTCCCAGCATTCCAAACCCTTCTCTTTGGCAAAGAGAGGTTGGATAGTGGACGCGTCTGACCCTGAGTCGATAAGGGCTTGCGCCTTGTGCCACTCAGAACCTACTTGAAGCTCTACCTCGATTTCCATCCTCTTTGTGGCAGTGGGCTTTGGAGGTTCTACTGGGAGTCACCCCTTCCTATTTGGGCTGGTGTCGAGCTTCCGCACACCTAGCCCTGTGTGCTGGCGTGGACTCAGGCATTCCTTCGATATATGGCCTGTCCTGCCACAGTTGTAACACATCCTGTCTTCGGCGTGCTTCCTATCATTTCCTCGGTAGTAGCTACCCTTCCTGTTGGGCGTTGGCTATAGCTGCCCCAAGAGGAGGTTGCCTCACCTGGGGTTGCGTGTTGGAATCCTCGATGGCTGCCAAAGCGGTCCCTCCTGTTGCTGAGGCTGCCTCTGCAGTTGGAGGAGCCTCCTCGTGAGGAACCCCCCTCGTCCCTTTGGCTATTCTTGTAGCCAGCGTGCCCCCCTTCAAGGAGTCGTTGTCTCATTTCTGGGTGGATCTTCATCAAGAGGTGGGTGGTCTTCTGCGCCTCGGTATACTGGTCCATTTCGCGCTCGAGATCCTCAAGATAGGCCACAAACTTGTGGATACTCTGCCCTTTCCTTTGGGCAGCTACGTTATACTTGAGGGCTGCAAGATGCTGTCGGTTGGCCGGGTCGACGTGGAGGTCTCGGAGGAACTCCTCGAAACCTGTGATATCCAGAAGGTCAATGTACCCCTCAACCTGGGTGGCGCACCGATGGTCCCACTCCTTCATAGGGTGCCCTTCTAAGTACTGGGCTGCGAAGGCCACCTTCGACTGTTCAGTTGGGAAGACCCTTGGTTGGTATCAGAAAATGGCGCGGAGGGAGGCCATGAACTCGTTGAGTTCGCGGGTAGACTCGCCCTTGTAGACCTTTGGTTCCTTAACCCTTCCAATTGGCCTTCGGGTGGGTGCAGTCTCCCTAGACTCAGTGGAAGCTGTGTCCTCCTCGCGTCCTTCCAGATGGGGGTCCTCCCACTCGTCCTCAATGTCTTGGTGTCGCCTTTTATGACGACTTTCTTCTTGAATTTGGGCTTGCTTCCTTGCAAAGTCCTGTAGGGCCTCAGGGTAGGCGTTGTAATTGTCACCGTGCGATCCTCGGAATACTTCTAGGGCTTCCTTCATTGTGTTGAAGTAGGCCCTCTCTTCTTCCACTGGCTTCCGAAGGTCGGCCAGCTTCGAGGCCATATTCCCGCCTTGGTTGGCCACCAAGTCATCGATTTCTTGGGTCGTAGGTCCTGGAGCTGCCTCGGTGGCCTCGGTGGCTGATGTCGCTCCCCCCGAGGTCGCTCGAGTAATCCATCTTTCCAAACTTGCCATCCTGACCCAGTAGGCTGGATATGGGTAGAGTCAATAGAATTGTAACGCGTAAGCCCAAGGTCTCACAGGAGTCCAGGGAACCAGGTCAAGAGGCAGGAAAGGGGTATCGTATTCGTAAGGACAATAGGTCTACATAAGTACAGCGACTATTGACTGGAGGCCTTCTTCCGAGGCCTCCAACCCCTTTTATCTATGCACCTTGTGCCCTACTTTACCGAGCCCTATGGGCCCCTAATAAAGGGACCTCACGTGGTGGCACGTGATGGCCTTCCTTACATACAGCGACCAAGGAGAGCTTCAAAAGGGTGACGATAGGGTCCACATTCAGAATGCTTTGCGCCACATGCCGAATGTCAGACATATAGTGCTATCAGGTACTGCGTGGAGGCTGCCCTCCCATCCTTTAAATACGATGTGGTGTCAACCGGACTATAGTATCATCGAACCTAATACCGACCCAGACAACGGGCCCTGGCAGTTCTCTCACGGATTCAGAGTAGCCCTTATGTGACACAGTTTTGATCTCCTCCCAATCTTCATCCTCCTCATCGGAGTTGTATGATTCGTTATCTGTGGGTGAAGGTGCTGATATAGGCATGTCGGCAAGGATTTTGATGACATTGCTATGGCGATAGTGGATAGCCAGGTCTAGAGCAGTGTAATCCGTCTTATCTTCTACTCCATGGTCGGCACCGTGGTCAAGTAGCGTCTGTACGATGTCTGCATGTCCCTTCATTGCCGCGTAATGTAACGGTGTCTGACCGCTAGAATCTCGATCAGAGACATCCATTGGACGCCTAGATAGAATGTCTAGGACCAGATGGCCATGATCAGCAGCTTATGGAGTACGGAAGGACCCAGCTCCGCCCCAAGCCTAAGCAGCATTTGCATAACTTCTATTGACCCTCCTATAGATGCACTCATAGTGAACGGAGTCCCAGTCAAACAGGGTTTAGAGACGTCTATATGCTGACATAAGAGCTCGACAATTGCTAGATGACCACGCCTGGCTGCACGACTAAGGGCCTCATGGAGGGCCCATTGTCGTTCTGCCTCGTCCCATGCTATAGTAACCCGATTCGATTCCTCAAAGGTCATAATATGCTGAGGCGCATCTCGCTGCCATATATTCATAGCATCATAGAGGAGATATCGAACGATTGATTCGTGCCCACCTCCTGATGCATGGACAAGGGGTGGGGCGCTATGGACAGCTGTCCATGGGTGTATGCCGGATCTGACGAGTAGTTTCGTAGCTTTTTCGTCCCCCGAAGCTGCTACATCATGTAAGAGTGTACCGAGGAGCATGCCTTCGCCATAGATATCTGCTCCCTTCCTTACCAAAGCAGCGAGTGTCCATTTGCGCTGCTTTGATTCAATCGCTGCCCATTGGAGCACTGTTTGCTCCTTATATAGTATGCCTGAGTTGAGTGTATAAGTGACGGCAACGTTGTAGAGCATATCTTGCATGGAGTCATAGTAGCGACGACATGTTCGTATTAAGGCTGCAAGATCGGAGGCCTCGAGGCTGGAGCCTATCTCCAGGATGATTTCATCAGGAAGGCGGCAAAAAGGTGTGTCACCCATTACGTGTACTGACTGTGACTGGTACGAGGGGTTATTGTCGTGATGTATGTATTACGGACTGTCGGTGAGTCTGGCTGTCGGAGTCCGAGATGCGCTAAGATAATACGGTTATCATCAAATACGGAGTAGATTCTGAAGGCGAAAACTCACGAGAGATAAGGCTGGAGTCGAAGGGTTGTGACCTTCGGTCTACATTTTCGGACATAATTTGGATGGTAATCGCGACAAAAAGACCACTGATAGGCGAGGAAAGCCGTGGCTTCTTTCGCGGCAAATCCCAAGTGAAATCTTCTATGCATTGTTAGCACGGCCTAGTATGCAATGCTGATATTCTTACCTTGGAAAACACAGTATGGCCTCTTGCGTTGTGCACCTTCCTTGGAATAAGACGGTCGTCTCCCTTAGTATCTGATACCAAGATAGATGGCATGTGTTCCCGTGATACTCCTGTTCAGGATTTGGAAGAGCAGTATGGATTGTTGTTAATCGAGGTAAACTTGATGAAGATGGAGACCATGCTGAGTCGATGGATGGCATAACAGTATTTATGGAACCAGTCTACTGTTTTGGCGTTGCTGTTGGTTGCAAGGTTCCAGTATCAGGCCAGAGGTTACGTGAGCTCTGGGCCTCGAGGCAAATTTCCGACCGAGATGAGGGCAGTATAGGCAAAAGCACTGGAGCCAGCCATCCCCCGTTTCCAGGAAGCCGCTGTCGTAATCGAAGACACCAGGATGCCGCCGTTCGAGAGGCCCGATGCAGACTTCACAATCGACCAACCGTTTCGCGTTTCCAGGAAGCCGCCGTCGTGATCGAAGACACAGGATGCAGCCATTCGAGAGGCCCGAGGCAGATTTCTGAGGTCAGCCAACCGTCACCCGTTCCCATGAAGCTGTTGTCGTGATCGAGGACACAGGATGCGGCCTTTGGTATAAGAATCAACCAACCGTTACGCGTTTTTTATGGGCTTTCAGGCTGCCACAAGCAGAGAGGGGCAAAGGGGGCGTCAGCTAGCCAATTATGTTTGCTCTGTAGGCGCTCATAAATCCATCATTTCCGAGCGCAGGGACTATAGCCACACAGAGGACAGGAAGCAGGAAACCGTGTTCAGGGGCTTGCAGGCCACACCCTACAGAGGACGGGAAGCAAGAAGCCGTGTTTTGCATAATTCTAAAAAAACAGTCTTTCGTGCCAACAGAAACTGGGATCGGGAATCGGAGAACGAGAAAACCCGAAGCCAGGCATCAACTTTTGGGTTACTAGCTCCGGAAAAACTGACGAAAAGCAGCACCAGTTCTTGTAACCCGTTACGGGTTTCCTATATAAAGTCTTTGATGGTCTAACGGTCATGATTTCCGCTTGTCATTCGACAAAGCGCGGGAGACCGGGGTTCGACTCCCCGTCAGAGAGTAACTTTGTCTCTCTGAGCTCATGCTTAGATATGTTTTTTGTCCTTTTTTGTCCTTTTTTGTCGTACGCGTGTATAAATTCGCATTCTTGGCATTTCCGACTCTGTTTATCCGCTTGTCTTTAACTACTGTGGTCCCAATCGCCATTCAACGCGGGTATATCACCCATCTCGATCCCCTTTCCCCACCCCCACCCCTCTGTCGCGGCAATTGCTTCGCGATAAGGCATTTCAAAACAGCATCTAAACACGACAACAGCGCGTCTGTTTCGTGACATCTCTTTGACAGCCCAAGCGAGTAGAGCCGGCGTCCTTCTAGTCGTGTTCTTGGTGCTGATCTCTCCACGCGACCACGATAAACGAATTGTTTCAACAGCCAACGATTGGCCCGGACACAGCGGCACCAAAACAAATTCTTGGCCATCCGCTCCCCGCCAATCGTTCGGGAAGCTCAAGCCCCCAACTCCCCCCGGCATACAGCTTCTCCGTTTCAACTCTTCCAGCCATACACCGACCTCATCGCCGTCTGTCGCGTCTAAAAGGCGCATCGCGACCGCGACATAGTCGCGTTCTTGTGCAGCAACACCCTGCATCCTCTGTCCATCTATGTGCATCCACCATCGTCGTCCCGCCCTGCACCTACATTCTGGTCACCGTTCACCACCATAATGACTCACTCTCATCATGGCGATCCGTAGAATCTCCTCTTTTCACTCTGTTTCAAGCCATTTTCGTGATTTGCCCTCTGCGCGATCGCGATGTGAGGCGGCGCATGAATATAACGAAGGTAGGTGGCTGGTCCGGTAGGTTTTCCCTCTTGTGCTTCTTCTCACCCCTCAGAATACCCTCATTGCATTCATTGCTGTTGTTGACCAACTCAATGAGAATCTTCTTGCACTGCATTTCGCTGTATTCCCGACCACATTATATGCATTTCTAATTGACAATCTCCACTCTTCGAATCTCTCTGATTCTGCCTTCTTATATCGCTTTTCAACCCCGCCATTGGCCTCGCTTTGGGTCGATCTGTGTCTTGGCCATGGCCTTTTCGAACCCCCTCTTCTTTCAGATATGGCGAGATGAGAAGATCAATCGCCAGCTACTATCCCATTTGGACGATGACAACCTCTGCGCTCTCCGCCTCACAAACACGGCGTGCTCGAACATCGTGACAAGGCCTCTCTTTGCGCGGATTCACCTAACCTTCACCCCGAGCGCATTGTCCCGGCCTTCTCGCATGGAAGCATTGGCCCGCATCGGTCACCATGTCGGCCATCTGACCTTCTCAATGCCACACACGGAATCAACCTTTCTTCCTCCGCTTCTGAATCCCGTCACTGGCCGAGAAGTCAACTTTCTCTACACGCCGCACACATCGCTTGCCTCGGAAACTGAGAGGCCAAAGTATGGCACACATGAGCTGGCAGACTATCTCACCCAGCAGTACCCTCCAATCTTCCATGCAGCGACGAATGTTCCTGCATTCATCCGTGCATTAGGTTGCATGCCCAACCTTCGCCACCTCAGCGTTTCGTGCCCTGGCCAGGAGCCATGCCAGCGATACCGTCGCTCTGCTGTGGACTACGCACTCATCAGTCTGCGGATTGCAATTGAGCGCGCTGGCCTGACGCAACTCGAGAAGCTCTCGCTAGCGGTCCACCCTGCTGCACTTCTCTACCTGCACCCGACGCCAAACTTTGGCGCGTCACCATCCGGCCTTCGCCGCTGGCGACAGATCCGAAATCTAAAGATGTCAATTGATTCCTGGACATTCGAAAATTCGCGTGCAGACCATCTAAAGCTATTGACAAACTACATCCGCATTTTCTCTGGTAGCCTTGAGAAGCTCACCTTCCATTGGTATGGCCAACGCGGTCCCTGTCCATTGACCCTCAACGACTCGAGTCGCCCGCCGTCCCCAAGTTCAGCCACAAAGCTTTTCGCTGAGATCACGTCGCCAATGTCACCACTCCCGGAAACCCCACCTCCCCCACCACTTCACTTCCCTCAGCTTCGTCGTATATTTGTGAGGAATGCATGGGTTGCTGCCGAGCAAGTATCTTCTCTCGTCAGTAAACACGGGTCAAGCCTCCGGACCATCGATTTCGATAACGTGACCCTGACATCTGGATCTTGGGACGAGGCTCTGGCGCCGCTGAATGATCTGGCAACCAAAGAAGGGATCTGGGAGGCTCGACACAGTGGCTCGAGCTCTGGTGTTGGCTTTGGCTCCCCGCCACGAAGCCACATGGATGACGATGTATTTGACAATTCTAGCTTCCGCAACAGCTCAGGCCTCTTCGTTCAGGGTGAGCTCGGCACAGCTCCGTGTAGTACACATCTGCATAAACGCGTTCGGAAACGCCGTCGTGCATACCGCCGCGCAGCTACCCCATCGCCGCCGCCAACTCTCCGTCGCCAGGCTTCGTCCCTCCTTGACCGCCTCAAGCAAAGCGCTATGGAAGCCTCGCAGAGCACATTCTTTTCCCGCTTTATTCATAACGAGAATAGCTCGAGCAGCCTTGGCCTCGCCATCTCAGAACCTGTCGCCAGGTCGCCACCCCACAACCGCAAAATGCCCCCAGTCCCGGAACAGCACTCGCGGTCGCCGTCGCATAACCGAGAGATACCACCAATCCCGGAGCAGCCGTCTGTGCCAGAACTGTCGCATCCATCCGCCGTACTGCAGCCAGCTACAAATACCCCACCGACGAGGCTTTCAACTCCTCCACGTCCACCGACGCCGGTTAAGCGCTTGTCACCACTATTACCAGCGACGACATTCGTACCTGAGGGGCGAGCCCCATCACCAAAGAACGTGCAACCACTCCGACGCTCCCCACCTGAATCTGCATCGACCCAGTCCACTAGCAGCCACCACCAATTCCCCGAATCGTCACCTCCCAAGCGCTCTCCACACACACCTGATCCCCATCACACACCCTGGCCTTCCGCCATGGCACTCAAGCCTCAGCCACTGAACCCTGCTGTGCGCGGTGTGCAGCGCAATATTCAGCTCGAGACTCACCACCAAGACATCGCAGACGACGCCGAGAAGCGCATCCACGCGCTTCGCCAGGGGCGCGAGGCTATCCTGGAGCGTCTCGGGAAGCAGTTCACGGCGAGGAGTTCCGCTGCTGCTTCTATTGGCGATAGACAGGTGCAGAGGGAGGTGAAGTTGAATATGATGACTGGTGGGGTGGGGTTGAGGGCTATTGGAGATGGGATGAGCATAGGCATGGGGATGCAGAAGGGGATGATGGTGCCGCTGATGATTTTTAGATAGGCGGTGTGCCTGTTGTTTGTTGATTTTGGTGGGTGCTGATGGGTGTTTGGGTATACGGTGGTTAAACTACGCAAGCAGGAGGATTTGGGGCAGGGGTTAAGGGGCATGATGGTCTATCTTTATCATGTTTTGTTTTATTGTTTTAAGGTGTGAAGTACGATCATGACAGTTATGAACTGGATGAGATTACGGGATGATATACGACTATCAGACGACGTTCGCTTCATGTGCCACGATTTATTTTTTATTTATTTATATTATCAATGATTTCTTATATAACAGGACGGATTTTTTATCTTGGTGGTGAGTCTTCTAGCTATTTAATCAATTAAAGAAGGGCATATTCAAAGTATTCGAGCAAGTGTAATGTCATACGATGTCCTATATACAACTCTCTATAGACGGTTGAATAGAGTAGTTTCCTAACGTGATTCCAGGTAGAAACCTCCGAGACTGATACTTCTACGGCTGAGGTGTTAGAGAGGCCTAAGGGGACGGATCCTAAGACTGGGCGGAGCGTTCGGGTAAAGAAAAACCTTCGGGCGAGGAAAGAAATTTAGGAGAGGAAAGACATGATATTGTACAGGGCATAGTTAGACCTTCATGGCAATTACGAGCTATTTTAGGGGAACTCGATCTATCCATGCAAGCTCTACGCTTCCAGTCCGAGCCCACAATATAGCAAGCAAATCATTTTCTCTGCTCCATTTTTATCCTGAGACGCCCCTTTAATTCTTGCCGAATAGCTTAATCCGCTCTCTATGATAGTGCCCACGGCAGCTATATTTACAGAAAGTTCCATGCACTAGAACACCAAGACATGGCTTCATGGATTCAACTTAATTCTCTCATTTAAAGTACGGCATTTCTAATATTAGCCGTTATCCTTATCTCTCCGCTTCTAATACCTATGGTCGCTCTCGCGCCAAGACCACCACCAAAACCGTCCCCCGTTGTCAGCCTTCCGCTTCCCTGTTCCTGCATCCTGTATCTTCGATCATGACAGCGGCTTCGTGGAAACGGGAGATGGTCAGCTGGCTTCGATGCTTTGACCTCTACTGCCTTCTTCTTGTTCGGAGGGCCAGAGGTCAATTACCCTGAATCCTGTGTCCGCGATGACGACAGTCAGTTATTAGTATCCAGAATACAGTCATCCGCGTTGTGCTAGAAAGTATAAAATGGCAGATGATGTCTTCGAAAACTGCTGAATTACTGCAACACAAGAAGAATATCGCGTACGCAACATATCACGACGATAACCTATCTCCAACCATAAATTGAACAGATTGCTGGCCAATCTTCATCAAGCAGCCATCAAGCAGAAATGGCATCTATGGGTGTAGCTACGACGGCTGGTCAAGTCACCGGAGGTGGAGGAGCTCAAGCTGGAGGAGATCAGACCAGTGGGGGTCAAACCGGCGAACTTCAAATCAAAGACAGCTATGTCGCCAAGCCACCGTCGCGCTTGCCTATTCCAGATGTCTTAGATAAATCTCACTTATCTGAAATTGAGAAATTCAACGAGGAGGACCACAAGTTCTGGACGATTCAATATGGAGCTGCCCGAGGTTTCCAAGCAACTCAAGCCAAAGTGCTCCACACACTCGAAACAGAAGAACTGGAGAGACAGAAAGATATTAAGGCATTTCAGACAGCTCCTAAGGAGCTCCTCACTGGTCCTACAGATTCCGCAAGACAATTACGTTTGCAGTTCAAAGAGCAAGTGGCTAAACTAGAGGAGGTCAACAACGCCATTGCTTCAACAAATCTAGCCGCAGATCGGGATGAGTTCTTTGGACAAGTTCGTACATACTTGTTAATAGAGCCAAAGCTCAACGACCAATATGACTTCGAGTCAATAGTGACTACAACCCTGCATTACAGCGTTCACTGGCAAAACCATACTGCAAAGACTTTGAACTTCAGCACTACCACCTCAATTATATGAAAGCCACGGAAGGCGGCGCACGTGATTCATCTATTGAGACTAGAATTCTTGACGAGTTGACTAATATTAATGACGATATTGACGATTTGGTGCGGACGGCATCCAGAGAGCGCCAAGTGGCAGAACGAAAAAACGAGGAGCAAGAGTTGAAAAGGAGCCAAGACGGAAAGATCAGCAAAAAGCAAAAGAAGAATCTCGACCAAAAGTACAAGTTGGCGGTGAACAAAATTGAGGTCTCTTGCTTGGTATATGTTCCTAATGAAGGAGAGGATGATTATACTCTAGGGGAGGAGAACGACGATGATTTTGACACTGAATCACTCATGTCAGGCGTTGACGATAAACCGTATATCGAGCAGCCTGGAGATGGTGAGGGTGGCGAATCTGAAAAGCAACCGCTACCAAAAGAGATCTATGAGATTCGTTCCAGAATGGGTGGTCGCGATGGACCCCTTTTCCACCATGTAGACGCTAAATTACGTGGAGAAAGAAACAATGAAGCAGAGGAAAAGCTTAAGAGTTTAGCAAGCGAGGTGGACAAATTCTGCGAACTCAAAGGTATCAGCCTATGCGTTAGACGACAGCCAAATTGATGCTTTCTGTGGCATGATAGTGGAAGTTAATGCATCCTTAGTGTTGCTAAAGGCTAACCTTAGCGACACAAACGCCCAGAGTCAATTCAAGCTTTTGAGAAGTCGTGCCGCTCTTTTCATACAATAGCATCAATGGCCAGAGGCGTTTCTGGATACATTTGTCCCAACTGAGGATGAGATTGTACAAATGGTACAGAAAGAGCAAGGGGCAGTTCTGAAAGCTCAGCAAAAGAAAGAGGCAGCTCTGAAAGCTCAGCAAGAGAAAGAGGCAGCTCTGAAAGCTCAGCAAGAGAAAGATGCAGCTCTGAAAGCTCAGGCAGCTCAAACTAGTGCAGAGGCACCTCCGCTTGAAGACACGGATGAACAGTGCATTATATCTGTTTCTATACCAGGGGTAGTAGTTGAGGAAGAAGATGGCATTTTGCGACACAAGAGAGTCTCTGGCATTCGTAAGAGTGGACTAGGCAGACACGACCTGTTCCTTAAGAGTCATGGAACCAACCCAAATTTTAAAAATTGTTTTATTTTTGAGCTCGTTCCCGCTAAAATGTTCTGTGGCGTTCTTGAAGAGTACACAGAGATGCATGGGTACAACCCGATTGTCAGTGCAAGCCGCGATGACCTAAAGGGTCAATCTTGGAGAAAAGTATTGATTGGTGGTGTTGCATATTCTCAGCGCAATCCTGAAAAAAAGTACAAGATCCAGGCTACTACCTTAGGCTTAAATTTCCTACAACTGCTTTCATGTGGGTTGTCGAGGTATCCTCACAAGACAATTCAGCGAATCCGTGGTCACGACGGCGATCACTCGATACATGATAAGACCGTCTATTTAAACCCGGCTATTAGTAATTTGTGGCCTCTTGTTATGGAGAGAAGAATACAAAACCAGGGAAGGGGGCAGAGACAGTTAGAAGCCAGATCACATAAGAAGATGTTCTCTCTTTCATCATCTAAACCTAACCTAAGTAGATCAAAGCAACATCCAACTTAGTTCAAGTACACTGCAATGCCTAACATCCGACGAAAATGAAAAGGAGTGCAAGGAGAGAGTGAAACGCCGCAAAAAACTACGCAAAACAACAACTACTTTAATGAATAAGATAGGTCGACTTAGCAATGCAACAGGCCTTTGGGCGGTGTTTGCCTCATACGACCCAGAAAGAAAGGAGCATAGTGCCATAATTTTCAATCACCACACACTAGGGGTGTAACGCTGACTTCTAAACGATAGAAGACACAGAGGTGATCCATGAAGGGGAAGTTGAAAGGTGCTGTTTCTTTCCTAAACTGCCTTGGTCACAGACTAGATGAAGAGGACTTCGACACAGTGCTACTCTCACTTCGAACCATGTATGATGACATTCGAGAAACTTCATGGGACACCTGGGCAGCTGTGTTTACAGCAGCAGATTTCTTACATGAGGAATATCAAAATGATGACACCTTAAAGATGATCAGAAGGATACGGCATGGAGCTGTTTCTAAACGGCAACAAATAATGGGTCAGAGTGCTTCAAATGGTCAGTGGAGTAACGCCTACCTTCTATTAAATCAGTTACAGGGGTATTATAAACTGGAGAAGCATCATGAAAGGAGGAAGAGGATGAATTTCCACCATCTTCAAGCGAAGCATTTTGAAAGAACGAAGAAACTTAACGATGACCTGGCTGAAGTGCTTCAGGCAACGCTCTGTCTTGCTATCCAGGAACATCAATGGGCCAATGTCTCCTATCAAGTATTTCAACTCTTGACGCTAAATACAGATGGCTGCAATGGAGTCATCCACGATGGGCCGCTGCATGTGGGCGTTCCTTCAACGTGTTGCGTCAATGCAGATGTCTACGATCTAGTACGTGTATCAATTATGAATAGTTAATGATAGCTGAGATGGACCAATACGTCGATTTCTGGAACCTTATGGCATATGATTATGTCTGGTCTGGGAGTCCACAGACAGGCCACCAAGCAAACCTTTTCCCTGTGAACGATGGCTCGACACCATTTGATACACTAACTGCTGTCAACTATTACATTTCTTAAGGTGTTGCACCGCAAAATATAGTACTTGGTATTCCTATATATGGCCGTGCTTTTGATTCAACCGCCGGTGCTGGATCACCATTCGTTGGCATCAGCCTGGGAACCTGGGAGCCAGGCATTTATGATTTTAAAGACTTGCCTTTAATAGGGGCCAAAGAGCAATTTGACAGCAAGCTAGGAGTAAGCTATAGCTATGATGCTATGAAGAGAGACTTTATTAGCTATGATAATATTGCAATGGTAAATCAAAAGGCAGTGTGGATCCAAGAAAAGGAGCTTGGTGGCGCCATGTGGTGGGAGAGCAGCGCCGATGCCTTGGAAAGCAAGAGCCTAATTAGGAGTGTCTACTACAGCAATATAGACTGGTGATCTCTCTGTTAAGCTGTAGTATTTGTCTAATTTGACCCAGCCAGAGTTGCAACAAGGACTCATAAAGGGGTCATTGGCATATATACTCTTCGCAGTCTCAAACTGCTCAAGTAAGAAGTCCATTGTTGGCAACACTCTGTCAATAGTTGCATTATGACCTTCTGTAGCTAGTGTAGCATCATGAAAGAATAGCAAGAAGTCTTGAAGGTTTTGTAGATCTTGCCAGTCCTTTTCTAACAATAAGTCATCATTGTTCTCTTGATATTGGTGACAGAAAAGGTTGATCGCAGTCTTAAGCTTCGTTGCAGTACTGATCATTGTATACCAAGAGTTCCAGCGAGTAGAGTTGTCTCGTACAAGGTTGCGGCCACCACTAAGCTCTCGGAAATTGGCTAATCATTGCGTGCTCCATTGAATATAAACTACAATATTATGTAGCTTTTCAAGAGGTCCCTTCTGTCGCCATTGTTGCATTTCAAGCTCTGTAGGTTTTGTTAACATACCAGTGTTATTCTCTTCTGCAAGAGCCTCATCGTTGGTGTGAAATAAGAAGGATTGAGCTGCCAGATTAATAATATGGCCGTTGCATCGAAGGCGGTGATGTCTTGCATTATAGACAATTTGGTATTGGTCAAATAGTACTATTTGTAGAGTAGTCAGGTATTGCAAACTATAATAAACCATATACATATAGAAAGACATACATGTAGAAAGAGCATCCATCATTGTATCATTGTTTCCTGCATTGTCCATAACAAAGTATCCGATTTTCCATAGTCGTTGATTACTTTCATAATAAGCTCGCTGATTCCAACCTAAAGATGTTAGCTGATTACTATAAATATTACTATAAAGTTATTAACCTGTATGCTCGCCATCTAGTTCTTGTAATGCAAGAACAGAGTGTTCTAATTGGCCAGTTTCAGATATATAGTGTGCGATTATAACAAGAATTGCAAGAGAGTTGGGAGAAGTCCAGAGGTCAACTGTAAAGTGGGCTTTTGACAGGGCTGATTGTACATCGCGTTTGATCTGTTGCTTTTGAGCCTTGTATGTACGCAACGTCCAGGTCTGTATTGTTGGAATTGAGTTAGGTAGCCAGTTATCGATCTCTGGATTAAGGTAATGGAGTAATGCCCTAAATTCCAATATTGTTGCCATACGGAAAGGGACTCCACAAGTTGTAATCCATCGTACATATAGCTGCTCAACAACAACAGGGTCTAAGGCTTCAGTTGCAACAGTAGAAAGACAGCGGTGTTTATGATTTATCTCTTTAGCTTTGTCGAAAGCTTCAGCAATATTTCTTTGAATTGAAGTAGTTCGAGATTCCTGAGTAGAGGATATATCGATGTCGTGTTCTTTTAAGTGCCTTGTAATAATCTTTGTTCCGCCAGACTCAAGATACTCTTTTAGACAGTATCTACAATGCCATATTAACCTGCCCTGGTAGTTCCGAATGATATCGCAGCGGCTAACAGGTGTATGGTCCCAGACTTTCGAAAATCGTCTGCTTGCAGTTGTTGTTACAGAAACAGAGGGAGAGGATAGCGTATGTTTAAGTACAGGTGAAGTCAGGGTTTCGAATCGTTCACTGACAAATAGCTCACTGTCGTGCTGTGACAGTATATCCGAAGGTTGTGAAGTCATTGTAGTAATATATAGTATATAACAATCTATCAATTGAAGTTATTCGAATCCCTTGTTTCAAATTTTAAGCCTCAATACTGGCTGTATACGGCTAGTAATACGGCCCGTATACGGCCAGTATTGAGAACTGAATACGCACTGGACCCGTATTGGGATTTTGGAATACGCACTGACTCAGTATTACTGTATACGATACGAACCCGTATAAGGGTCATACATGACCCGTATCGCCAATACTATCTAATACACTGAGCTTGTGAGATTGGCGATCACAACAGAAACCCCCAAAGCTTAGAAACATCATATGGACAATATGGACAGCACCTGCATAGTATAATAGGCTTTCAACTTTCGTACCTCCTAGATGCACAGACAGACACTTCCCCTGAAGTGGAATGAGACGGCGGTACATTTTTGATTCATGTTTTAGATCTCTGACACACTCTACTCCTGTGCCTTTTGCGACGACGGTGTAGCCAAATGTAGGTAACTTGACCTTGAAAAAGGCTCCTCTGGCTCCATCAATATACATTTGCTCACGTTAGTCAAGCTGAACGCATAACAACTTGCGGATATGTTGCATAAATGTATCACGGTTGAGCTGATGGCGACTCTTTCCATGTTCTTTGGCGTTAGGACACTGCCAATCGAGTTCTCCCCCATTTATCATACCCATCAGACAGCTTGGGGTACAGAATCGACCTAAATTCCTATGAGCAAGGCCCGCTATTTCTTGAAGTTCAAAACATTAGAAGTGGAGCATATATTTTCGTAGTGTTATTTTATTAGCATTTCATTTATTCTAGTGCCATCCCATTTATTGTAAGCAACCAGTGTGCAGCGAATCGTGATCCGGCATGATTCACCCTGAATCAGATTCGATTCATGATCTGATTCGGGCTATTTCTTGATGATTCAAATCATGATTCAGCAAGTATTTGAATGATCTGAATACTTGCCAAGATGTCTAAGATGTCCAAGCGTCTAGCGGTGAGGACTTACTGTCATCCTCAATATATAGTTTTTTAGATTGACATTTAATACATTCAATCATTACAATTATCATCATTATGAGTGATTCTGAGTTGTCTGACGCCCCTGAGGATCTTGACGATCATGTTATTTATGAAGATAACAGTAATAATGGAGTATTCTCATCGTCTTCGCTATCATTAACACAAAGCAGTACCGCAACACTACAGCTACCAGTCACTCATTCTGCTCTTTTTCCAAAGAATCTATATGCTCGTACTATCTTAAGAGGCTCTCCTAATAAGATGCAATATGCTTGTATGCAAGAAGGCTGTTCATATATGCCTGAAGCTAAACCGGTATCGCAAAATACAACAAGCAATTTATGGAGACATATTGAACTAAAGCATCCAACTATCTTTGAAGCGTCTTCAAAATCTACTCGAAAACTTCAGAATAAAGACAATATCCGCCCTCAGAACCGTGCATCTTTGTCTAGATTCTTCAAGCCAAATCCTCATGGTACAACTCCAGTGTCAGGCACCAAATTCCGAGAATTGTTACTTGCATTCATCATTATGAATAATCTACCAATGAGATTGGTAGATAAATTCTCATTCCGGCAGCTAGTGCATTACCTCAATCCTTCAGTTTTGAGTATTTCTTCAACGTCTTTGAAAAGGGACCTACACAGGCAATTTTGCTATCATCGAGGGCAGCTACAACTGGAACTGCATAATCATATTAAAGCAGGTGGGCGATTATCACTTACGACTGATGCTTGGACTGCTATAAATGGAACAGATCATGCTGCTGTTACTGTACACTGGATATCAAAAGATTGGGTCCAACATTCAAGAATCCTAGATGTGATAAATCTACTTGAACCAATTCATTCTGGCGAATACCTAGCTCAGCAATTACTCTCAGTTACAGATGATTTCAAAATTACACATGGAGTCTTTACTATCACAAGAGACAATGTGTCAAATAATACAGCAATGCTCAACCAATACGAATCAAGAGCAGCAGATGTTCCAACAACAACAAATCAGCCATGGAGCTTTACTGTTAAAGATGGCGATGTACGATGTATGGCACATATTATAAATATAGCTGTTCAAGCAGCTCTTCTGACGATGAAAGCTGTACCATCAGAAGAGCTTGAGAGCTATCGAGTTCAAGAGGGTTTAGCTTATACTCAGATTAATGCTATCTATTCTGAAAAAGAAGAAGTTGTTAACGCTTTAACAAAGCTCCGCAAGCACATCTATGTGTTTAGGAATCGTCGAGGGTGGAAGGATAGTCTTCGTTCTCATGCTATAGCCACTGGAATCAAGCCTGTTACTCTTACAATTGATATGCCAGTACGATGGAACTCAACATATCATATGCTTCAAAATGCATTGTCAATGGAGGCACCAATCACAGCCCTTTGTGCATCACAGACTCTTGATATAAGCATGCGTGATATCCAGATTTCTTCGAAAGAATGGGAATTACTTCATGCTCTTGCAGAGTTCTTTGAGATTTTTAAGCGTATCTCAGAAAAGGTGCAAGCAGATGGGTATCCAACACTTAACTACTGTGTTCCATATTATCTACGACTAATGGATAAAATTAAGAAGATCAAGAAGACTGTTAAGCATACATATATCAACGAAGCTTGTACTGCTGCATTCAACAAATTGGACAACTATTTCTCACTTGCAACAAGCCAACGGTCAAGCCATTCAACAGTTGCAATAATATGTGATCCTCGGTTTAATTTTAGTATATTTGACTTCTATTTGCCTGAAAGCTTTTATAACACAAGCAAAGAACGAGCAAGAGCACAGTTTGCAGCTTGTTATAACAAGTATAAAACACTTGACAATGATATTCGAGCAGAGGAAATGGATGCTATGCTTGATAATGAGGATGAGGATATACCTCAAGAAGTGGACTCCGAGGATGAGATGTTTAAGCATCGAAAGCCTATACTTCAAGAGGTTGAATGGAGACGGTGGCTTAATGAGCCAGGAGTTGATAAGCCTGAGACTAATATCCTTAAATATTGGCAAGCAAAGCAGTATCAGTATCCAATAATTGCACAAATAGCTCGAGACTATTTAGCAATTCCAGCAACATCAGCAGCATCAGAACGGGTCTTTAGCCAAGGAGCTGACATTGTCACAAAGAAAAGGAATAGACTATTACCTTCAACAATTAGATATTTACTATGTCTACGGGATTGGGGGATAATTGTCGACGATGAGGATATCGAAGATGAGGATGTCGAAGATGAGGACGTCGAAGATGCAAGTGAACATATAGGTTAGGCATAGTTAAATATTTTCCATAGTTTTCAATATTCTATACACTCTATTTAAGCCTCAAAGATTCGAGTCATGATTAGGCGAATACCTCAAAAATATGAATGAATCATCAAATCGCCGAATCGTATTCGGGAGGTGATTCGCCGCACACTGTAAGCAACTCAAGGTGACTCATGAGCCACAGTATTCCACCCAACCGCTGGCCTGTCCGATCATAGACGACGAGATCCTGCCAGATATAGTGGGCCGAGGAGGATAAGACGGGATCGGAGCTGAAGCGCAAGCCCTAGGAGCCCAGCAGCGAAATTCGAAAAGGCGCATCGCACACTGTCAAGGGGAGTCCGACGCCATATTTTTAGCCATAGAGAGAATTGATGAAGAAACCTCTATTTCTGGCATCTTTTCCTATCAACACTCTAGGCTTTGTTGGACCTATTCAGCAAACTTTGCGACTCCAGCTGCGACTGTGTCTGGTCACTCCACCTTTGCCTCATCTGCAGTCTCACTTGTACGGAATCTCGAACCTGACGGGCTTGACATTGATTGGGAATATCCGGTGGATGCTACCCAAGCAAAAAACTTTGTCCTTCTGCTTCAAGCTGTTAGGGATGGCCTTGATACATACGGCAACTCACTTAGCACGCCATACCACTTCACGCTCACGGTTGCATGCCCTGCTGGCCTGCCTGGCGAAGCATCCCAAAGAGAATCACCTCTATCAGCACATCAACAGACAATTGACCGACCAAGACTATGTCCATGTTCCGGCATTGATCGATTCGCCGGATAATAAATCTGCATGGATAGTCTTCGATATCAATGTTGGGGATAAAGACCAGGACTTGGCAAAAATTCCTGTACAGTGTTGGAGAGTGAAGTATAATGATGGGAACCCGTAAGTTAGCTGCAGCATTATGCATTATCTTCATTTCTGATCCTACTCAGTCAATTTTACTCGTGCATGGCCGGTGTGCAGTACTACAATCATATGCTCAGATGGGGTGGCACAAGTAATTTTGAGTATAGAGGTAGCGCTTTGATCAAAGATACTATTGTGGTAGACAGGTGCTAACAGACGAATTTGACTCGCACGGTTTTGCACTTGGGTTGAGAATAGCCTTTCAATTCCATCTACAGGCAGCTCAAAAAGCACCAGCCACTCTCCCTGCCAACATATCTCGAGGCTAGTCTTGGAAATGAGCTGACGGTGTGTTTAATCGGAATCAGGTGGTGTTTCCCCTTTGCAAGCAGGACAGTACGTGTCAGTCGTGTCTCTCGGATCAGGGATTCTTTCGCGCGGGGGGGGACAGGAATCGGTGGTATTCAGATGAATTGCACATTTAAGAATATCAGTTGTGTGAAAGTGGCCACAAAGACGGTGTAGCCAACATTTATCTCCGCAGACCATCTAGTTCTGTTAGTTCAAGCAATAGTATTTCGATTTCAACACTTACCGTTGCAAAGTTCCAATAGGAAGTAGAAGAAGTGCGCAAACGGACGTTGCTGTCGAGACTGAAGGACACTGGAATGCAGTTTCGATTGTTGACGGAACTGATGGAACTGATGAAGAGGATTGTTGACGGAACTGATCCTTTTATAGGAAACTGCCTTTTATATAATCCATGGGCACTTATTACCAACTCTCTGAAAATAGATGGGTAGCCTTGTTGATTTTTCCACACTGCACTGGATATGCATATGAAGGGTAGTCAATCGAAAACGCGCGCGACCACGCCGATGGTACTACAGCATGAGTTAGAGATATTTATGCGGCTCCTTTGGGTGCGACGTGCCGGTGACACGATAACCGCATTGTAGATTAGGTAGAAAATCAGGCGGTCAGGCAACGAAGGATACTATACTCGTATCTACATGTTGAACTGCTATCTGTTCCTCGGTCGAGATTTCCTTATTAAATAAATACACCCATATACAACCAATTGCAGACCATTATTATCCGCGGAGTATGTATGAGGCCGCATACATGGCAGCAATGTTGCCTTCCCCAACCGTTCCGGGTTGCTAAGTGTTGTTATATAAGCATGGCAGCTTTTCTATCATGCTCCTGAACACTGGTTGCGCAAACACAACTTAACCAGCCCTCCGTAACCGGTATCCCGAGTGTTTTCTGCGCCGTGGACGAATGACAAATGAAAATCGTCGCTAAGCGCGCTAAGACGTGTAAATGAGACGACCCTAAGGGATTTGTAGTGATTTCGAAGATTAAAAGATTTAAGCAGGCTCTCCTACGGCCCGTTCGTGATGAGTTCCATGGGTCGAAGAAGCGAGGTGCTGGCCCGCGCGAGACTCCCGCGACACGGGTCAACTATCAGAAGACTTCTGATATAGTTTTGAATTTGAAAGGGGATCTGATAGGGGCGGTATCCGATTAAGGTAAGTCGGTTTTTTCAGCTATGCCATTAGTTACGCCATTAGTAGTCGGACCATCGGTGGTTGGATTGTTCTGTGGCGACAGGCTTGGTTCCGGTTCTTCAAGGATAGTCCCGAATTTCTTGAGAACCTGCTTGAGGGCAGGGCGTCGAATGGGTTTGCTGAGGAACATATCCATTCCCGAGTCCATGCACTCTTGGACATTGCTCTCCTCTGAAAATGCCGTCAATGCGACAATTGGTGCAGAATAACCCATTTGACGTATCAGTCGAGTACTCTGTAAACCATCGAGGTTCGGCATCTAAACTTGTTAGTAAGAGGTATCCAATAGAGTCTGGAATCGTACCTGGATATCCATAAAGATGAGATTGAACTGAAGCCCTTCCTCCATGCTAGCCTTCACCTTCTCATATGCCTCCTGGCCATCCTTTGCCACGGTCACATCATAAATATCCTCCAGTTTTAACATGCTATAAAATGTTAGTTGTGGTATTTCCAGGTCAACAAGCTGCGTATACATACCGAAGGACGACTTCCTGATTTACCAGGTTATCCTCTGCAACTAATACTCGAATCTTGCCCGATCCAGGCTTGGCTGCGACACGATTGAGGATGGCAAGCTGATCATCTGTGGCTCCATCCCTAGAAGCTGCCGACGCAAAGAATGGCTGACTCAGCCCAACCAGTCTAGGCTGAATATCTTTCTCGACCACTGCAGCCTGACTGCTGTTGTTGTTCGTGGCACTTTGTGACTGCATCTCAAGCGACAACCTTGCCATTCTGGAATCCTCCCGTGAAGTCACACTGGGTGTTTGAGACCCCCCAGCAGTTGAACTAGCCGTGCTAGATGTCCGCTCCCCAACAAACTTTAGAGGAATTTGCATATTGAATGTAGTGCCTTGGTCTTCGCCCGTGTTTTCCAGGGTGATGGTGCCGCCCATTAATCCAGCGAGCTGATGGCAAATACTAAGCCCCAATCCAGTGCCGCCATACTTTCTGCTGAGACCCAAGTCGCCTTGAACGAACGGCTCAAAGACGCGGTCCTGGATACTGGCAGGGATACCCGGACCTGTGTCTTCAACCTCGAACTCGAAAATGAGCGTTTTCGAGTTTGCTGGTGGGGGAGTCGGTGACCGTTCGCGAACATGAATGTGGCTTAAAGCCGCCTTTGGATCCATAGGGTTGATGAGTAGAGCGGTGCCAAGAGGTTTGCTGGGGCTAGACGGTAGTCTCGAGGTGGATGCGTTTGATCCCGATCCAGAACCAACGCGATGACGTTGTCTTGATGAGCGTTGCAACGATCCTTGTTTTGATGCCAGTGAGCCTTTTCTGCTGACATTGCCTTCTGCGCCCTTCTCGCCTATACATTTAATCCTCACGATGACCCTACCCCCCACAGGAGTGAACTTTAAGCTGTTGCTAACCAGATTGATGAGCACTTGGAGTATTCGGTGCTGATCCCCCCATAACCTCATGTCCTTCAACCTGCCGGTCCCGTTTGGACCCACGGCAGGAAGAGCCTTTTTCGGCCATGGCAGGCCCGTTTTGGAACCGAGATCACCATTTTCAGCACTAATAAAGTGGACAGCAAATTTGATATTTGCCTCCTTGACTTGCTTGTCGAAAATGGTCACGACTTGAGATTTGATATCGGAAAGGACAAACTCTTTCTCTTCAATGGTAATCGACTGGCCGATTTGGTTTTTACTGAATGTTAATAGATCGTTGAGTAGATGTAGCAAAAGATCCCCTGACTTGTACACGACCTGGAGAGATCGCTTGATGCTGGGCAAGTCGTCTTCTCCCATGCAAACGGCGCACATACCAAGAATTCCATTTAGCGGTGTTTTCAATTCGTGTGATATGTTCGCAATAAAGAGCGTTTTGCTTTCATTCGCTGCTTCTGCTGCCTTTTTACTGATCTCCAATTCTCTAGTTCGTTCGGCGACTCTTTCCTCAAGTTTCGTATACTGCGTCATCAGTTCATCAGACATCTCGTTGAAGGTGCGGGTGAGCTCCGTCAATTCGTCAGTAATGAAATGCCTCGGGTCAAGCACCTTTCCAGGGACTTTAAACACTCGGCGACGTTCTTCTTCCGTCTTTTCTTCCTTCGATTTTCGGTGTTTGCCATGCACAAAGCGTCTCATGCGTATTACAAATCCCTTGCCATGTTTCGATGTCTTGCTCGACGATTGAGTATTTGCTGTTTCTTCGTCGCCCGGGCGAATTTCACCATCGATGGATATCTCTGACCCCATGCTATTCCGTGGTGTATACCCAGGCGGCTGAACCGACTTCTCGGTGGCCTCTTTCAGCCTCGTAATGGGCAAAACGCTGTAATAAGCTGTTGGAACGACAACAACCAAAATGAGTGCAATAGTTCCAAAGATACAACCAAGGAGAATCTTGCGCAATTTCTCGACCGGTGCAAATGCTTCGGCCTTAGACTCCTCCACAATCAGCACCCAGTCCACTATATTACTTCTAGGACGGGCGTATCCAACAGCAACCTCGACCCCTTGCTCATTTATAGTATTCAAGTTGCTTCCGGCATTGTTGATTTGAGAGTTGTTGCTGCTAACTACTTCAAGCGCTACAGGGTACTTTTTTAACTGGAAGTTGGCGCCGTAGTTCGTAGAGGAGCTATGCATGGTATGCCGATCGGTCTGATTCTGGTTTGGCATAGGCGGGAATATAAAGTTCATATCCTGCTCGCCGAGATCGGTCCTATTTGGAGTATGGCCCTCGTTGACCGGTGTCTTCGTTTGAGGGAATTTGTTTATTCCAGTGTCTGGCCCCAAAAGCAAAACCATGCCGGTGCTATCCAGGCCCTCCCTCGAATTTCGAACATTGAATAGTCGAGTGGATTGGGAAACCACAGTCATGTAGCCCAAAATATCTACTTTTGACGTGCTGTTGAAAATTGGCAGCGTCATAGACACCAAGGAAAATGTTTCGTTGACGTGGAATGGTCCCAGTAGCATAGCAGTTGAAGCATTGAGATTGTATTTACGAAAAGCTTTGACGGTACTAGACACCACGCCGTCTGTAGTCGTTCTAGAGTATGTGAGATTTGGATAAAGCGACTCAGGGAATCCAGTGGGCCCTTCCGGTGACTGGTCGCCAAGTTTGATGTGCTTTGGAAATTGTCAGTAATTTATCATGTTGCCTGGAGGTAAGCAATTCTCACCGTGCCATTTGGATATTGCATTGGAAGTTGGATATCCGCGGCGCCAACAGCCGTGACGTTTAGCAATCCATTTGAGTCTCCAGTCCTGTCCTTTGAGAATATCCTGACTTGGACCAGCTGCGAGTAACCGGTACTAGCAACAGCCGCCTGGATATCTTCTTCAGCCAGCTGCCAGTTGGACGCGCTGTTGTCATTCTGGTAGTAGAACCTCAGTAGTGCCTTTTGTATCTCTATCCGAGTCACAATAGTCCTGCAGGTCGACTCGACGAGTTGTAGGTTGGCAGCTACCTGCCCAGCCTTGAGAGATGCAGTCAAGGACAAGCTTTGCAATCTGAGACGTATCAGTAATGACCGTAGCAGGTAAGGGATTGGATTGGCTTACTTGATGCCGACAACGAAGTTGTAGTTATTTATCCACTGTTCACACTGTCAGAAGAAGCGTCTTCCGCGGACCCGGTCCATGCAGAACCCACGGTTGAAATGGACACAGCAGCCAATGCCAGGAAAGCCGTCAAAAGGACCAGCAGCGCAAGCTGCAGGCGAATGGGTATGCGCATGGCTTGCTACTCGAAATCCCTTTGTTGTGCCGTGGGCTTTGAAATTTAGCGAAATAGGAGCGTGGGCCCTTCACCCTCCTCCCCCCTCCTTCCTCCTCCAAGCGGTCGCTATTCGACTTCGAGATTGGGCCAGTATGGTGTGATAGCTGCGGCGGCAGATTCTTTCTGCTATAAGATCATGTCGCTGATTTTTCACAGCAGCGACCACGGCGCGGCGGCGTCGGGCTGTGTTCCTGGCGACTGGGCTAGTTTTCGACGCGACAGGCGGCGATGTCGATATGGCGGCTCAATTGATGAATATGCCTTAGCAAAATAGTGAGGGAGTAGACGAGCGAGGCTCCGGATTTATCTAGCGCATTAGAGATAGATTTGAGGTCGTTGGAGACGCGGCAGGGATACGAGGCTCAACGCTAAGCTGAGGCTGGACCCTTTTGCGGGACGGAGAATGGGGGATTATTGTCGGAAAAAATACGATGCGCACCCCTTTGGGTTTGGCTGCCAAGGGGCCACCAAGTGGGCCGGCCCCAACCCCCCTGTAGCCACCCCATCAACGCGCTCGCGAGGCCTCAGAAGGCTCGTTCCCACCGAGTTTTGGAGATATAGTATAGGGTAACGACGAGCTTTCTCGTAAATTAACGTCTTATATAGTAATACACGTGTACTACGTCTACGTCGTCAACTTTTTTTTACGATAAAATGGGGTCGCCGTAGGCGAGGGAAAATTTGAGTTTTGCAGAAATCACTTGCGCATTGCGCATCGTATTTTTTCACCTGTGAATTCGGCAAACTAGTGAAAAATCACCTGCGCATGCGCAGGTGATTCCTCGTTTCCAACGAGAATTTTGATATATAGCCTATATAAACATCATTTTTCGGAAGTAAATTGCTCTATATAGCCTATAGTCTACTATATACTAGAAGGTATGCCACCACTGTACACTTCTATTATTGTTTTCTCGCCATAAACGAGCAATATCAATGTCCTTCTTCATAAGTACTGCTCTTTTCCCTCGTGCCCCACGATGCATATAAGTAGCTATAAAGTCAACCTCTTGCCTTGCTAAGTCTGCATCTGCTTTATCAGCTGCTATACGCTCCCCCCGGAGAGTACTATAGAGCCTCGTTATAGACGAGAATTCGCCATACTTCTTCCAAAATACCTCCCAGTCCCTGTGGCAGGCAACAAATGAGTAATAAACAAACTAAAATAGTCGTTACTATCGAGGTAATAAGGTGTATTATCGTAGCTTACCCTCCAATGACACCAGTTATTCTTAATTACCTTCCAGTAAGTTGGAAGGCTGTCTTTATATAGTATCTTCCAATACTTAAGTGGTATACTTTGGTCGTTAATAACGAGGGTTTTTCCCTCGTCCCAGTCGAGGATAAGTTGTGGTAATTCCTTGTATGCCTGATATGTTTTTGATGGTGGGATAGGAATTGAGGAAATAAGAACAAGTTCTCCTTTGTTAAGGAAATCAAGCTGTATATAACCCTCTTTGTCGTTGGTAGCGACCCTTTTTGATGGGGTTGGTGGTAAGTAGAGTAGCCGAGGTCGCTGAACTATAGTAGGCGATGACCCTACTCTCTGGTTTTCCTCGTTGTCAACGACCCTTTCAGCTTCTTTGTCTACTCTCTGGTTTTCCTCGTTGTCAACGACCCTTCCGGCTTCTTTGTCTGCGTTGTCCCTTTTCCTTTTTGGCTCATTTGGAATGACAAGTTTATAGGATTCCTCGATAGGACTGACGTATTTCTTACTATTATACCTTTAGCACCTATATATAAGTAAATATAGTAATATATTACCTTTCAGCTTCATATTTAGCTAGGTTAAAGGCATTGGCCCAGCTTAAAAGTCGGTTTTTCTCAGTAATTGTTCTTATATCAGAATCAATTATATTTTTAGGTGGAATAAATGATTCAATTGATGTATGGCCTGCGTCAATTTCTCGTTGTAGACGAGTGTTTGAAGACATCTTCTTTTCTCTCGATGGGAGCGACATTTTTAATATAGTTGTAGCTAAATTATTTTATGATGTTATTTAATAATAATGCCTCTATATATATTTAATAGGAGGGTACAAATGTCTCATTGTTAGCGAGGATTAGTCTCATTGTTAGCGAGGAGTTAGGGTTATTCCTCGTCCTTAGCGAGGAATCTAATGAGGCTCTACACAGATTATATAATATAGAGCGCCTTCCCTCGTACCTTTCCTTTTACCTACCTTTCCCTTTACCTACTATTAAAGCTTTAAGATGGATACACTCGCTGAGAACGAGGGTTTTTGAAGATAGAGAGGATCTTATTACAGCAACAGAGCAATTACTAGCTGACGAGTTACAAGCCCAGACTGCGTATGAAGAATTCAGTTTTCGTCAAAGTACAAGCCAAATTAAGCAGTCGTCAAATGCTGCTTTAGCACCTACAACACATGCTGCATATACCTCGTAGGTAACGAGTTATTATAAAACGCTCATCTCTAACGAGATATTAGGATGCATACACAATTCCTTATATTTATTAAGGCAAAGTACCCTATACAAGGTGAGGATGGGGTTAATACAGCTTCTAATAAGTGTCCACAATATATTTGTGAGTGGATTCAGGATGCTTGTGAAGTCCTAAGTACAATAGAAGGGGTAAGGAAAGTTGGAAAAGGGTCGTCCCGGACAAAGAAGCTAGTTGACTCGTCAGGAACGAAGGATCGTGCTGCTACATACTCTCATGCTCTAAAAATGAGGGCAGCTATAAGCTTTTGGTTTGCCTATATATGCCCACGTCAGTGTGGTCATGGGGAATGGCTTCAAGTTGTTGAGAGTGGTAATTGGCAAGGAAATCCCTCGTTATCAACGACAGTTTCCCGCTATATGAGAGCCCTAAATAAGATGAAGGTAAATTCTCTCATTCCCATCGAGGTATTTTATACTAATAGATTCTAGACACATGCTGGTGAAGTCTCTACAAGTGCAAGAGCTCTTACTTCATATGATTTACAGTGTATGTGGAAGTTTAACCAAGCTATTCCACAGGTTGAGTTTGGTAAAAAACTCGTTCATGACGAGCATACATATTATTGGAGTGGGCAGAAGTGTAGGATAATGCTACAAGCTATCTATACACTTGCATTTCAATGCCTTCTTCGGATTGACGAGGTATTACAAATTCAAAGTCATCATATCCTCGTTATCAACGAGGAACGAGGTGAAATTCAACTTAACCTTCTCTTCCGGAAGACAAACCAATATGGAGGTGTGTACTCTACTACTTAAATTCCTCGGTACTAATGAGGAATTAGGAATTAAGCCATTTCACCTATTTCTTAACCCACAAGAACCTCACCTTGACCCTGTTCTTGCACTCTTACAATGGATAAAAGTCTCGCAGATAACGAGTGGTTTTATATTTCGTCGTATTGATGCCTATGATCGGGTTATAGCAAGTGATAAGAGCTTAGTATGACTACCTTATATATTAAAATACCTCAGTGTTAACGAGACATTAGGATGCTTCTACATTTACAGAGTATTTTCGACATAATCTCCTCGATATAGGCGTAGATTTCCGACTATATGGAACACACTCTTTCCGTAGAGGTGGATGTCAATGGCTATATTCAGAAAAGAGATGGGGTCTACGGCAGATATGCGATTGGGGTGGATGGAGTACAAATTTTGACTCAAGCTCTATTATGCGGTATTTAGTCGGCTGGAACGATAATCCTACAAAGAAGAGAGAAGAGTTTATGAATCCTAACCAGAGTGGAGGGCTCCGGTGTATAGTATGTGGACGGGAATGCTCATGTATTGGTAGATAGTAGCTCTTAGAAATACCTCGTTACAACCGAGGATTCTGTCTTGTTTTGATTCTGTCTTGTTGTTTTGCGACTGAGGATTCTGTCTTGTTTTGATTCTGTCTTGTTGTGACTGTGGATTCTGTCTTGTTTTGCGACCGAGGATTCTGTCTTGTTGCGACTGAGGATTCTTGTTGTGACTGAGGATTCTGTCTTGTTGTTTTGCGACCGAGGATTCTGTCTTGTTTTGATTCTGTCTTGTTGTTTTGCGACTGAGGATTCTGTCTTGTTGCGACTGAGGATTCTTGTTGTGACCGAGGATTCTTGTTGTGACTGAGGATTCTGTCTTGTTGCGACTGAGGATTCTTGTTGTGACCGAGGATTCTTGTTGTGACTGAGGATTCTGTCTTGTTGCGACTGAGGATTCTTGTTGTGACTGAGGATTCTGCTGTTTTGATTCTGGCTTGTTGTGACCGAGGATTCTGTTGTTTTGATTCTGGCTTGTTGTGACTGTGAATTCTGGATTGTTGTGACTCTTGTTGTGACTGAGGATTCTGTCTTGTTGCGACCGAGGATTCTGTCTTGTTTTGCGACCGAGGATTCTGTTGTTTTGATTCTGTCTTGTTGTGACTGTGGATTCTGTCTTGTTTTGCGACCGAGGATTCTGTTGTTTTGATTCTGTCTTGTTGTGACCGTGGATTCTGTCTTGTTTTGCGATCGAGGATTCTGTTGTTTTGATTCTGGCTTGTTGTGACTGAGGATTCTGTGTTGTTGCGACCGAGGATTCTGTGTTGTTGCGACCGAGGATTCTGTCTTGTTGCGACCGAGGATTCTGTCTTGTTTTGTGACCGAGGATTCTGTTGTTTTGATTCTGTCTTGTTGTGACCGAGGATTCTGTCTTGTTGTTTTGGATTCTGTGTTGTTGTTTTGCAACTGAGGATTCTGTTGTGTAGAGAGCCTGCGACTAAGAGCCCTTACCGAGAGCACTACCTCAACCACTACGGCAGGGGGTTTCCTCGTTGTAACCGAGGGTTCCCTGCTCTTAATCTTAGAGCCTATAGTGCGACCGATAGCCTACGAGCCTGCGACCGAGAGCACTACTGTAACCACTATAGCAGGGGGTTTCCTCGTTGCGACCAAGGGTTCTATGTAGAGAGCCCTACTAAGAGAGCTCTCGTTACAGTACATTACAACCACATAAGACAAGGAGAAAGGAAGGAAAGCAAATTTTGTATTATTCTATTTTACAAGAAGCTCGTTGTTGCCGAGACTTCTAGATATTGTGGCCAGAGGCCACAGCTGCAAGGGTGGTGTTGGCACGGCGAGTTCCATCTACCAAGTCCTTTTCCTCGTTAGCACTGAACTATTTTACAGCTATATACAACTTACCAACACAGTCATATTACCTCCTTGGAGGTATTGCAACATCTCCCAGAGCACGCAGCGGTGGGTGCGGGTGAGGGTGTTTGGGGGAGCCTTAATTCTCGTTAGTGATGAGAAATCTAATACTATACAATACTTACGTCGCCAGGAGGGAGGGTGGCAGCTGGGAGCGCCCTGCGGTAGAAAAGCAGCTCTACTGCAGTATGCTGCCACTTACAGCCACAAGGCAGTAGGTCCTCGTTGTCAAGGCCACGGGGGGTGTCTAATTCATCGTTAGGAACGAGGAATTACAGAAGGTGTACTACTTACCTTGGGGGAGCGGCATCAGCTGGTTCCCAGTGCGGCCTAAAGCTTCGTTAGCAATGAGACAAAACAAGAGATAATATAGAACACTTACAGCCATAACATTTGGCAGTGGTGCCAGCACGCACTTCACCATTGGTCTTGTGAGGCCAGCATAGGCGGCTAAAGGTTCGTTAGCAACGAGGATTATAGACTACCAATTCACTTACCGTAACTGCTCCTCTAAGCAGTTGGTGTTCTGCAGGGGGCAGGCAGCGATAGTTCCCCAGCGGGCAAGGTAGGCGGTGCGGCGTTGGCTAAAGACTCGTTAGTGACGAGGATTCTGAAACCATAACTTTCACTTACGCAGGAGTGCGGTTCCTAAGGATGGCGGGATCCCATCCCACCATAGTGGTCTGGGCAGCGTTGTCGAAAGTGTATTGTTGCGGCATTTTCTAAAAGTCTCGTTATTGACGAGGAAAAAAGGTTCAGTAGGGGCGAGCCTACGAGGTAGCGGGGTGATGGTGGTGGTGGTGGGTAGAAAGTCGGTAATTATTCCTAAAAGCGCACTCGCGCATGCCACTTAGCCTAATTAGGGCTAAGCTCCTAGACAACAATTCTACAATAGCCACCTTGCCTATTTGGGCTAAGTGGCCTACCCCCCTACCTGCGCAAGTGATTTTTCAGGTGCGAATCGTATTTTTTCGGAATGAATGCCGGCGGGAAGGGAATTTTGGTTAGTGACAGGGGTCTAGCGTCGTCTGAAGAGTTAGTGCGAAAGTGTTTGTTGCACGTGAAAACTAAGGAGATTCCATATAAGATCACGTGACTATTACAACACACCCCTTACGTATCTCTGTACGATTCCCTTCGTAAATTGCATGAGGAAAACGGAGAAAGGGGTGGCTATCCACGGGCTGGTGATACTCGGGCGTGAGTCAAAGTTACGCCCGATGATTCACTGCCATACGAGTAAACAAGTAGCCCACTTCGGTCCGGACCCTCTATCTTCCTTCCATATCGGTCATCCATACCCTGCCCTACTTTACCCCATGCCAAGTGAGTACACAGGTGGGCAGACCATCAGGGGTTAGCTCAGCTGACCCGAAAATGCTCCACTTTTATGACTAAACCTTGCACATTGGTCAGCTAAGCTCGTGTAGCATCACATGATATGGTCAGGTAGGGCTAAAAACGGTATATAATAGGGCCCTAATTTCCTACCAACATAAAACCTGTAGGGCATGGCAACACAACAGTAGTAATTCATTGCTAATGCATTATTCACAATGAATGAGATAATTTCACTACCTCAACTAGACCTATGGTCTAATACTGTTAGTATTGATAGTAGTCTTCAATTTGAGGATGAAAGACGAGTATTGTCGACCAGCGCCGTGGGCACCAGTTTGTAAGCAGCCTGCCGTGAAGCCACGAAAGCACGTGATTGAGCATTGGTCACGTGACTCCAATGCGTCAAACGTGAATATTTTTACAACCCCCCACCAACCTCACTTTCCTTCTTCTTCAACAACGTGATGGCCACCACCACCACCCCCACCACTGAGTCTTCTGGCCTCAAAGCCACCGGTAAGTTCAATTCCTTCCTTTTCCTTTTCCTTTGTTTTTTTTGATTGATTACTGTATACTAACCTTCGGATAGAAGATCTGGCTGCCGTCGTGTCATACTGACATTCGTTGCACTCAGTTTGCTATCAAACTCAAGAGCAAACTTGGAAATCTCCTCCTCAAACCTACAAGTCACTATACATATTTTGGCTTATCACACCAACAACAAGAGCAATACTACTCAACGATTGCTACAACCATCTATGATTCATTACACGTCATCGCTCCTTAGTTACTGGGCCGATATTACCACATAGCATATCTCTACAACCCTCTATGATTCATTACATGACATCACTCATACTACCACATGACATATCTCTACCAACTAGAGGCCTAGGAGCATGAACGATAGCTCTAAAAGCTCCTACGAACCTCTATGATTCATTACATGTCATCGCTCTTTAGTTACCCACAAGATTGGTTAAGTTATGACATAATTTGTCTGTAACATAATTTGTCTATGACATAATTTGTCTATAGAGGTACTCTGACCTTGGACCTCCTTTTACTTCCTATAGGCTATGAACCTAAGAGATGGTTCTATGGGATTCTCTTACATCGACTACAGTTACCAAGCCTGGTAAGTCATGGAAAGTCATGGAAAATGAGAGAACTACACTCCTTTGGCATAAATAGGATTGCCCTTTCCTTAAGAAAGGGCAAGCAGGCAATACAGTAAATCGACTAGCACATACTTCTACATCTTTTCCAAGCTTCCAAGCATTGATCTTGTTATTCTCTGTTTTTTGAAAAGTCAGTGAGGTGCTAACCTCTGACTTACCCCTGAGTTCCCAGACTCAACATTTGTTGCAACTTGTCTGAACCACTTCATGTTACGACGGAACAAGAAGGCTGGCCAACTACAGGACAGGAAGGAGGGAGGTCGCATGAGACCGGCCCTGGTACCTGGAGGGGCAGCGGGGAATAGTAGTTCTGAAAGTATCACGTGACGGACTCGCAGGATGATGAGAAGAATCCTAAGAATCCAGGACTCCGAGGACTCGAGTGAGTTCCCAGGAGTCCACTAGGCACGTGACGGACTCACAGGATGATGAGAAGAATCCTAAGAGTCCAGGACTCCGAGGACTCAAGTGAGTTCCCAGGAGTCCACTAGGCACGACGCCACTATATAAGTAGATAGTTAGTTCTTAGATAGGAGCTTCGTGCTCAACTCAATATAGTATTCTTTACAATACTGTAATGTGTTACTTGGAAAGCTGTAATGGTGGGTGCACCAGATATGAGAATCTAGCCACCCAAGGAAGGGATGAATTTACTAAGACAACACACTGTCTTAGGAAACAGAGCCAAAGGCTTGTAGCTTAGACTATTCCACAACGCAGCAATCAGGTGTATGATGTGGTGAAGTGGTTTAGACAAGTTGCAACAAATGTTGAGTATGAGAACTCAGGGGTAAGTCAGAGGTTAGCACCTCACTGACTTTTCAAAAAACAGAGAATAACAAGATCAATGCTTGGAAGCTTGGAAAAGATGTAGAAGTATGTGCTAGTCGATTTACTGTATTGCCTGCTTGCCCTTTCTTAAGGAAAGGGCAATCCTATTTATGCCAAAGGAGTGTAGTTCTCTCATTTTCCATGACTTTCCATGACTAACCAGGCTTGGTAAATGTATTAGAAATCAAGTGCGACCCACAACTAGCTTGCTAATCATGTAGTGAACGTAAGAGAATCCCATAGAACCATCTCTTGGGTTCCTAGCCTATAGGAAGTGAAAAGGAGGTCCAAGGTCAGAGTACCTATAGACAAATTATGTCATAACTTAACCAATCTTGTGGGTAACTAAGGAGCGATGACGTGTAATGAATCATAGAGGGTTGTAGAAGCTTCTAGAGCTATCGTTCATGTTCCTAGGCCTCTAGTTGGTAGAGATATGCCATGTGGTAGTATTGGCCCACCCCCCTTAAGGAGGAGATTTTCTTAATAACTTGTTCAATGAGTGTCCAAATGATATGCCGTGATGTATGTAGCATAAACAGATGTAGTAGAAGAGTTTGCAGCAATCGTTGAGTAGTATTGCTTCTGTTGTTGGTGTGATAAGCCAAGATATGTATGGTGACTTGTAGGTTTGAGGAGGAGATTTCTAAGTTTGCTCTTAAGTTTGATAGCAAACTGAGTGCAACGAATGTCAGTATGACAGGGGCTAGGGGTTCTTAACTATATTCAGCCTCTTATACAAGCCACACTCTTTGCTGTATACAGCTAGTGCAACTATGGCAATAATTCAGTCTGTAATACTAACCAGTCCATATTATTAGTAGATCTAGTCCGTAGGGACTACCCTTAGTCTGTCATGTGGATTTCCACCCCAGCTACAAGGTGTGTAAGAAATGGCCAACCTCGTACTTTCCGAACGAGGTAGGAGCCCTGTTAGGATAAACTAGACTACTACGGAAATCAAATCAAAGCTCAGCTAGAAGTACGATTACAAACGAGCAAAATGTGAAGATCCTAAGATAATTCAAGAGTGGTTTTCTCTCGTATGAAACATAGTTACGGACTAACTAGACTATGACTCTAAGATACTATATTTCGCAACTATGTTTCATACGAGAGAAAACCACTCTTGAATTATCTTAGGATCTTCACATTTTGCTCGTTTGTAATCTAAGATAGTCTAGTTAGTCCGTAAGTCCGTAGGGCCCAACCTACTAGTAATGGTCGAGAATATACTAAACAAGAAGCTGACTCTTCGTACGGAGTCAATTTTCGTGAGTTAGGGGTAGAGTCGCGTCGAGAAGTAATACCATGAGCGCGTCGTCTAAGTGTTGCTTTAGGGTTGCTTAAGGGACATCATATGACATTGCAGCAGCTCGAATACTTTGAATATGGACTTGTTTAATTAATTGGATAGCTAGAAACATCCTACCCTCTTGATTAGAAGTTTTAAGTTGAGTTAATGTTGCCATAAGTTGAATTTTGTCAAGTTGAGGCGTTTTGGTGTTTTGGTGCGTCACTCGCTTGTGTGCGTCACTCGCATGTGAAATACGTTACTGTTAAAATATTATCCAAAACAAACATGATGACGTCTATGTTATATGATGACTTGTATGTATGTAGATACACCTGCGTTTTGGTCTCATTATTATTAGAGTATTTGGCAGTCTCATGACGCATGGCCCGTGAGAGTACTGGAGTGACACCACTGGCCGAACCTGACTAAACCTGACCTGGGCGGGGTGCGCTGATACCGAGTGCCGCCCCTAGCGCAGCGATTGGTTATCGATAACGCTAGGCGAAGCGGCACCACCCAGGTAACCCCCCTGGTAGCTTACCATCATTCACACAGCCAGCTCACAACCTCACCTAACGGGATCTGTTCTTGCTCTTGGTCTTATTGTCGCCTCTTAATATCCTTAATACTGCGGCAGTAAGGAGACCAAAAATGTGCATTCTGGCCTAGGAGGATTATTGTTATACTTCTGCACATACCCTAAAACAGATTAGACATGCGCGGCGGGAAAGCGGCGAAGACGCACCACCTGTGACGCTAGACTTGGAAGCGTCCTTTGAAGGGGCGGTAGAGTACCGCACAGTACAAAACGGATATTTGAAAAAGTGCGAAGCTATCGCGAAGCTTTGTTTCTGCTGGGCTTGCTATAAGATACAGCCAGAGCTACAGGCTGCGGGGCAGGTTCCCTCGTCCGCAGTATGGCTTCGTTCCTCCTCCCGACGTCGATACAGAAACGACTGCTACGGTATGCTCTTTCGCGGCTGGAGATTATCGATACAGATGCGCTGGATCTGGATTGCCTGGACATATCATGGGGCTCTAAGAGCACACTGGAGTTCCGCGATGTGGG